GCGGCCGCCGCCGCAGCTGCCCCTACTGCTGCTCTGCGTCCTCGGGGCGCCACGAGCCGGATCAGGAGCCGGTGAGTACCCAGCGCCCTGCTCCCCCCTTCCCGCCTGGGCTGAAAGCGTGCGCCCCAGGGGCAGCCGCGGGGGGAGGGGGCGCAGGCGCCACCTGGACGGCCTGGGAACAAAGGAAGGCGCCCCCGGCGCGGCCCTCGGGGAGCCCTCACCTGCGGGTCGCACGACGCCGCAGTCCCCCGGCCCGAGGGTCGGGCTTCCGATCCCGAGGCCTTCTTACCTGGGCCGCTGGGCCGAGGACGCCCGGCCTGGCCCCCGGGGCTCGGGGGGCTGCGGCCTGGGACCCCCTGCACGCTGGGATGCGGCGGGCGCACGCGACAGCGTCCGAAGACTGGGAGCTACGGAGACCGCAGGGCACCGCTCCCGGGCGGGGGCGCACGCGGTAGGCGAGCTGGGTGCCGGCCCGGAGCGGGCCCCCCCCCCCGGTGGAGGGATGAGCCCCGCGAGGAAGGCGGGGCGGGAGGGGGGCCGCTCTGGCCGCCTGGCGCGCGGCCCGGGGTCCCCGGGGACGCGCCTCTCCGCGGGCCGGCGCCGCCGCCCTCCCTTGGCGGGACCTCGCGAGCGGGGGTCTTCGGAGTCCCCGTCACCGGCGGCACTCAGAACTGTTCCCGGCCACGCTACGCCGGTCTGGAAGCCTCCAGAGAGACAAATCTTTGTGAGAGAGTGGATGAGAGGGAGAGGGAGAGGGAGCGGGAGCCAGCCAGTCCGGGCACCGCGGGGCCCAGCCATGGGTGGGGGGAGTCCACCGGGAACCCACAGCCCGGCAGGCCGAGACCCCTGCCCTGTCGGGAGCTCCTGGCCTCCGGCACTTTCCGGCCCCGCACCCGATGCACACCCCCGCCGGGACACGGTCTCCACATCCAGACCCGCTCTGGGACACACCCAGAGACACACAAAGACTCACACTGGCTTGTGGCCCGTCACCCTCGCCCTCAGACTCTCGCACACTGCATCCCAGATGCACATTCGCACACCATCGGGGCACACACACACATTCCATCCCTGACACACACACACATTCGTGGTCACACACTCATTCCGAGGAGGAAGCAACTGAGGGGCACACACGCAGGCACAGCCTGCCCTGAACGTTCACAATCCCTCCACACACCCGGTCCAGGCGCACAGGTCACCCAGGCAGGCACTCGCTGTTCCCCAGGCCGACCCACACTGCGCAGAGCTGCTTGCAGGCTCCCTGCAGTGCTCCTCCAGAAGGGCAGGGTCCGGGCACCCCCTGGGGGCACTTGCTGAAAGCCCAGCATGCCTGACTCGCCCGGGCAGGTGAGGGTCTGTCCTGGGCCCTCCCAGAGTTCCCGACAGCTCTGCCAGGCAGTGGGCAGTGCGCGTGAGTGCCACCGTTAGTGGCAGGCTTTGTTTCCCAGCCTGGAGAGCATCAGGCAAAGGTGGGGGGGGGGGATTGTTGTGCGTGTGTTTTTTCCTTTAAGGGGGAAGAAATTAAGATTCTCACACCTCCACAATATGTTTCTACTTACGGTGTGTCTTAACACCTGACCAGCAGGAGAGTGAGTCGTAAAGTGTCTGCAGGTACCAGCGGGACAGAAGATAGGGACCCCTGTGGGGACCCCGGGATGGAGGCCACCCTCCTGCAGGCCACCCTCCTGCCTTGCTTGCAGAGAATCTCACACTTTTCCCTTTTAAAACACATGGTGTTCCTTTTTAATAATGGCGGTGGCTCCAGATTGGGAAGAGGGGAGGAAAAAACTTTTAAAAGCCCCAGCTCTGTGGGAGAGGCAGGAGGCAGGGGGCGAGCCGCGGGGGGTGGGGGGGGGGGGGGGGGGCGCTGCTGTTCAAAAGCCTAACCCAGGGATCTGCTTCTAGGAGGCCCCCCAAACGAGGCCAAAGGTTCTCCAAACCTCAGTGGGCTGTTCCCAGCTCCTTTGCCTGGCCTGGAATATGTGCGCCCCAATTTCGAGTGCCTGGGCCCATTGTCTGGGGAGGCCTGGAGGGAGTGGGGAGCCAGCAGGGACCCCAAAGCTGGGAGGGGCTGTAGTCCGAAGCGTTCCTAGGTGCAGTGTGCTGGGCCCTTTGGCCGTCGTGATCTCATCTCACTCATGTCCCCCGCAGGCAAAAAGTACTTTCCTCCCTCTCTCTGGAGGAGGAAACAGAACAGGACAGGGGAAGCCACTTGTCCAGGTGCTCCAGCTGGGATTGGCACCGAGGTCCCAGGAGGAGAAGGCCTCCCTCTGACCTTTCCTGCCAGAGATCGGGAAGGGGAGACTGGCCTGTCTAGGCCCGCCTGGCCTTGCCCTCTCGCCCTGTCCCCCACCCAGCCCCGGGAGGGCAGCTGCAGCTGCTGGCAGGCAGGCCACACCAGCCCAGGCCAGGCGGGTGTGGCAGAGGGGCAGTGCCCCCCAGCCAGGACCCCCCAGAGAGCCCCTTCCAGGCCAGGCTGTAGCGGTGGGTAGGGGGACAGGAGGGGCGTGACTCACTCCTGGAGGGTTGAGTGGGCCTGGGGTCTGGGCAGGCCTGGCTGTGCCTCCCACCCTGCTGGGGGGGGGCCCAGGCAGGAAGCGGTGGGTGGGCCGGGGCAGAGACGCTGGCACGCCCGAGTTCATGCTGAAGGAATTCCGAATTAGCGGGCGGCTGGCTGCCGGGGACCTCCGGGGCGGCCCCCTGGCCCCCCGCCCCCAGCCGCCCCCGCCTCCTCGGCTCTGGCCCGCTCATCCGGCTCCTTCGCACGGATGCTGAGACCTCCGGCGAGCCCTGGGCCAAGCCCCAACACAACTGCGATCCCAGGCTCCAGCAAGACATGGCCCTCAAGCCAAGTTTGCCCCAGAAAATCGTCAAGGCCGGCCCCGGGAACCGTGTCCACCCCACCTCGCCCATCTAGGGCAGTGAGGGCCAGCACAAGGCTGCTGCTGGCATTCAGGGGGCCGCCCAGGGGGCCAGGATCACCCTGTCCTTGGCAGCCATCTCAGGGAAGCTGGGCTGCTCTGGCCCCTGTGCCCCCCTGCAGTCCCTCTTTACAGCTGCCTGGGAATGCTTTTAAAATGTAAATCTTTCCCCTGTTCAGAACTCTGGAATAACTCCTCCCTGCAGGGCGGGCCCCTGCTGACCTCCCAGACCTCATCTCATACCTGCCCCAGGACCTTTGCACTTGCTGTTCCCACTGCCTGGACACTCTATCCTAGATATTTTCATAGCTACTTCTTTCATTTTATTCAGGTCTCAGCTCAAATGCCACTTCCCCAGACAGGCGTACCAGGCCATTGAGCTGCCACCACTGACTCGTGCTTTCCTTTCTCCCTTGTTTATTCTCTTAGATATTTATGCCTTTTTTTCCTGCTGCTCCCTTGGATTCAAGGCCCACAGGGGCAGGAATCTGGGGTATCTTGGTCACCATTGTGCCCCCAGCTCCTGGCACACTGAAGGTGTGAATAAATGAGTGAACAAACGAGTGCATGAGTCCTCGCCCCACTCTTGGTGGAGGGAGAGGCCCCTTCCCAGAGGCTCAGAGAAGTAAGGTGACTGGGCCAAGTTTCCACAGTGAGCTTGGGGCATTCAAACCAGGTCAGCCTGGCTCAGAGGTCCCACAGGGCTGTTCTTAAGGCAATATTTGCACTCCTTTCAAACAACTCCATGTGGCTGATACTGTGATGCCCATTTCCCAGATGGGGAGACTGAGACTCAGAGAGGGGCGCCAGGGGCTTGAACTGTGCATCCCCTCCCCCTTCTCTGGTCCTTGGTTTCCCCTTGGATAAGAAGAACAGGCTCCTCTTGGGTTCTGATTTCCAGAAGGGGAAGCTCTGGGCTGCCCCAGTGGCAGGCAGGAGCATCCTCGAGGCCCCCGTGCCCAGCACCCAACTCACACGACTCCGTTTAGGAAGACTCTCCCATTTGATCTTCACAATGGCCCTGGGGACCCTGACCTTTCCTGTTCCCGTCTTGCAGATTAGGAAAACTGAGTTGAGGGAAAGCTCGATGATGCCAAGTCCCTTTGGATGGGGGCTGGAGACCTAGAGCTTGCCACAGCCACTGTCAGTTCCAGTCGCAGTGCAGAACAGAATTGTGGAGACCGACAAATCTGAGTTTCAAGTGTGTCCTTCCCTCATTCAGTTACCTTAGGACTTGATCTCCTAGAGCCTCAGGTTTTTCATCCATAAAATGAGCAGGATTCTAGTAGGGATGAGGGCACCCCTTTTTAGAAGTGCCTCCCCCCACAGAGACACCTACTATGGGTGAGGTTCTGGAGGTGTCAGAGAAAGAGCTCACAATCTGTTATTTCTAATTGCAAGAAATAAAATGAAATGAAAAATAAAGAAAAAAGCAGAGTGTAGTGGTTGTTAGAGCCATGTGCAAAGCAAGAGTGACTTGGATGTGAGTGGGCGTTCTATGCCCGAGGTTTGTAACCACTCAGAGAGCATTGAGCAAGTCCATGGTGAAGTGGCTTGGAAGGACCTGAGTTGTGGAGTCAGACAGTCCTGGTGCTGAATCTCGGCTTCACCACCAACCTTGGGCTGATCCCTGACCTCATTGAGCCTCAGTTTCCTTATCTGTAAAATGGGAGGCAATGATAAGCAGCTCCTTTGCAGGACTGCCACAAGTCCTGGAGGTCCCAGCACTGTGGGGGGCTCAGGGGGGCTCCATCCCAAGTCTGACAGGCACTCCTCTCTGACCCCAGACACGGCTGTGATCAGTCCCCAGGACCCCACGCTCCTCATCGGCTCCTCCCTGCAGGCCACGTGCTCAGTGCACGGGGACCCGCCGGTGGCCACCGCCGAGGGCCTCTACTGGACTCTCAACGGGCGCCGTCTGCCCCCCGAGCTCTCCCGAGTGCTCAACGCCTCCACCCTGGCTCTCGCCCTGGCCAACCTCAACGGATCCAGGCAGCAGTCGGGGGACAACCTCGTGTGCCACGCCCGTGACGGCAGCATCCTGGCCGGCTCCTGCCTCTATGTTGGCTGTAAGTGGTCCCCTAGGATGCCCAGGGGTAGCTCTTGGGAGCAGAGGGGCATGAATCATGGGCCTACTGGCCTGGGGCTGAACAGTGGGCATGCCGGCTCAGGTTGAGAGGTACAGGCCGCTGTGCGGGAATGAGAGCCTGGAGCGCCCCCACCCTCCAGAGAGCCGTGCAGGTGGTCCTGCCAACATCGGCTCTGTCCACCCTCCTTCCACTGTGGTGAGGGCCTGGCTGGTGGCCAACAACTCCTCCACCTGTCCACAGCCGGTCCAGACCCTCAGCCCCCTGCACCCCCCTTCCTCAGTGCCCCCAGAGAAACCCTTCAACATCAGCTGCTGGTCCAAGAACATGAAGGACCTGACGTGCCGCTGGACGCCAGGGGCGCATGGGGAAACCTTCCTCCACACCAACTACTCCCTCAAGTACAAGCTGAGGTTGGTGGTGGCCCTGGGGTGACGTGTGTTCCAGCCTGGCTCTGTGGCCTCAGCCGAGTCAGCCCTCTGAGTCCCGGTGTCCGGTCTGCACTCTGGGGCTGCCATGGGAATGTCTGGTGCCCAAAGGGACCCTCACGTGTCCTCGCCCCCCATCTCACCCCTGCAGGTGGTACGGGCAGGACAACACGTGTGAGGAGTACCACACAGTGGGACCTCACTCCTGCCACATTCCCAAGGACCTGGCTCTCTTTACGCCATACGAGATCTGGGTGGAGGCCACCAACCGGCTGGGCTCAGCCCGCTCCGATGTGCTCACACTGGACATCCTGGATGTGGGTGAGGCCCGCCCCCCAGGGCCAGCCTGGCCCATCATGGATCCTGACCCCCAGCCGAGCCGTGGTTGCAGCTCCGGGTCCAGTCCTGCTGGTTGGGACAGGGAAAAGCTAGGCAGCCACCCATCTGTCCCCACTCCCCTGAAGCAGCCAGGATACCCCCACTCTGCGGAGAACACCTGGCCTGGCCGCCTCCCCCTCGGCAGCCCAGGTGTGTAGGAGGGGGCCCAGGGGAGCTGGGAGGGGGCGCCCAGGTCGAGAGGCGCCCCAGGAAGCAGCGGCCTGGAGCTGGGGGGGGCGCAGGCGGGAGGCAGGAAATGGATGATCTGCGAGCAGAATTGGGCCTAATCTAATTAGGGTGTTTCTCAGCCCCAAGCAGGCCTGTGCCTTAACCCTTTCCGCCCCTCACCAAGGCCTCAGGGGGAGAGGTCAGCCCTCCCTGTGGCCCACAGGGCTCCTGGAAGATGCCCGGAAGGCTGGCAGTCACCCCCCCAGCCTGCTGCCTGCTTCGCTTCTTTAAGTCCTGAGGCTGCAGTGGCCCGTTCTAAGCCTCAGTGGTCCCTCTGCACCCGGCAAGGCTGTCCTATTGAGGACCTCTGGAAAGTAGGAAGGAGCTGGAGGTGGGCAGTGGGGGATCCAGGGGAGCTTCCCAGGGGTCTGGCAGCCTGACAGCCCTGGCCCCCCGGGGCATAGTAATCATAACACCCTCCCCCAGGCCAGGCCAGGCCAGGCAGTGTCTGCTTTTACAGAGCCCCTGCAGATAGGATTATGTTTCTGCCGTCACAGATGATAATGGTGATAACAGCTTACATTAATTGAGTGCTTCTAGGTGCTGAGTGCTTCTCGAATATTATCGAATGTAATCCACCCGTCCTACGCGGGGAGGGGGAGGACAGAGTCAGGTGCCACCTAAGCCACCTACTCTGGGATTTGAACCCAGACAGGGGCCAGCCAGGTCCGAGGAGAGCCGGCTGACTAAGCCCCGCCCCGCCCCGCAGTGACCACCGACCCCCCACCCGACGTGCACGTGAGCCGCGTCGGGGGTCTGGAGGACCAGCTGAGCGTGCGCTGGGTGTCGCCGCCCGCCCTCAAGGACTTCCTCTTCCAAGCCAAGTACCAGATCCGCTACCGGGTGGAGGACAGCGTGGATTGGAAGGTGCCCGCCCCCTCCGCCCGCCCCCGCCCGGACCCCGCCTTGGCGTCTGACCCTGCCCCTGCCGCCCAGGTGGTGGACGACGTGAGCAACCAGACCTCCTGCCGCCTGGCCGGCCTGAAGCCTGGCACGGTCTACTTCGTGCAAGTGCGCTGTAACCCCTTCGGCATCTACGGCTCCAAGAAGGCCGGGATCTGGAGCGAGTGGAGCCACCCCACGGCCGCCTCCACCCCCCGCAGTGGTGAGCACCCCCGCAGGGCTGGGTGCTGTGGGGCCCAGCCCCAAGCCAGCCTGCGCCTGCGTTCCCTTGTTTCCTCCAAGGGAGCAGAGGTCTCAAACTAGTGGCCCCAGGGGCTGAAAGTGGCCCCTGGATCTATTTTCTTTGGTTTGTCATTTGAAAAAAAAAGTTTGATCTACTTTAAAGACATTTAAAGACAGGAAGTTTTAACACAAATATCCTAGGTTCCCTAGAAAAATTGTCTAGAAAACGTAACAGCACACAGCCAGCATTGGCCCCCATCAGCAAAAGCCACCCCTTAACTCAGGGCCCTCACTCTCTAGCTGCCTCACCCTCACCTGGCTCGTTTCACCCACCTGTACCCCTCCCCAGCCCCTAAGGGTGAGTGTGAGACTCCTACTTCTTTTTTTTTTTTAATTTTTATTTATTTATTTTTCCCCCAAAGCCCCAGTAGATAGTTGTATGTCATAGCTGAACATCCTTCTAGTTGCTGTATGTGGGACGCGGCCTCAGCATGGCCAGAGAAGCGGTGCGTCAGTGTGCGCCCGGGATCGGAACCCCGGGCCGCCATCGGCGGAGCGCGCACACCCAACCGCTAAGCCACGGGGCCGGCGCGAGACCCCTACTTCTGAGTCCAATCGGCTGCCCCCCTTCCTCTGCCTGGCCTCACTTTCCCCTTCTGATCAAGATAGGCAGATGGGGATGATCAGGGGCCTGGGTCTGATTCCCCTTGCCATCTGGGGTTTCTCAAAGCCCATGGACCTCTGTTCTCTGCTTTGCAAAATGGTGTGAAATCTGTTACTTGAAATGTCTGCCCTCAGCTTCCCGATCTGGAACGTGGGGGTGATAGTCACGCCTGCTCACTCAGCTATGAGGGTTAGATGAGAGAACCCACAGAAAGCGCCTTCATGGTGGTGCCACCTAAGTGTTCGCAGGTAGCAGTTACTGAGGCTCATCCCCTGCTCCCCCCATGGTTTCACCCCAAGGGAGGCCCCCTTTTCTCAGGTGAGGACACTGGGGCCCCAGGAGGTTCAGCCAGCCCCCAAGGTCACTCAGGGATCTGAACTCAGTTCACTGGAAGTCCAGGCCCACACTCGTGGGATGATGGGGAAACCGAGGCCCAAAGAGGGACCCAGAGCCAGGGAGGGGCAGAGCTGGACTCCAGCCAGCTCCCCAGCCCCCAGCCCAGGCCCCTCCAGGTTTGGGGGTGGGCGGGAGCTAGCACAGCCAGGAGGGGCCTGAGCCTTGGCCCCTGTTCGTGCCCAGCACCTGCGATTCTTGCACGGGAGCCAGCAGGCGGCTGCGTCCGCTGGGGAGGCTGGGGAGGCCGGCAGGGGCGGTGGGGGCTGTGCCAGGGCCTGTCAGCGGGTCCCCGGCATTATTTATGACGTGAGGCCGATGTCCTTATCCGCCGGCCTGCTTGGGGCTGGCTGCGGCCGGCAGCTGTACCGACAGGCCGGCCTCCCACCTGGCCCTCCTGGCCCATTCCCCATCCCACCGGCTTGTGTTCTCAGGCCTGTCCTGGGGACTGTCCCCTTCCCTCAGGGTCTCCTCGCACTGTCCATTTCTCTTTATCTCTCTGTCACTCTCTTCCTGTGTCTCTCTGTCTTTGTTGGTTTTTGTGTCCCTACATCCCCAGGGTCTCTGGCCTCCCTGTTCCCGCTCTCTCTCCGTCTTGCCCTTTTTTCCATCTCTCGTCCCTCTGCATCTCCTTGGTTGTCCCCCATCGCTTCACCCTCCCTGCATCTCTCTGTCTCTCCTTGTTCCTATCCCTCAATCTCTGCCTCTCTCTCTCTCCAGCTCTCTCTTCAGTGTCTCACTCCCTTTCTCTGCCCCCTGCTCTGTCTCTGCATCTCATCTCTCTGGCCCTGGCCTCTCTCCTTCTCCCCCCTCCCGTCCACTCACACCTGGAATCGGGTTCCTGGAGATGTGGAGGAGGAACCCCTTCCTTCCCCTGCGCCCCACCTCCCCGGGGGCGCAGCTGGGCTGCTGTGCTGGGCCGTGGGGAGGACCCGGTCCCAGAGAAACGGGGGTGCCCGGGGCGGGGGGGGGGCGGGGACCGAGGTCCTGCCGCGCCAGGAAACCTCCCTCTCCTGCCCGCGCGCGCCCTCTGCCGGGCGTGCCCTGACGCTGCCGCTCCGCCCCCATCAGAGCGCCCGGGCCCGGGCGGCGGGGCGTGCGAGCCGCGGGGCAGCGAGCCGAGCTCGGGGCCAGTGCGGCGCGAGCTCAAGCAGTTCCTGGGCTGGCTCAAGAAGCACTCGTACTGCTCGAACCTCAGCTTCCGCCTCTACGACCAGTGGCGAGCCTGGATGCAGAAATCGCACAAGACTCGCAACCAGGTAGGAAGGAGGGACCGGCGGGCGAGGGCTGGAGGAGTGGGGGCAGGGAGCAAGGCGGGCTGGGGGGGGAGGTCCGCAGCCCCCGGACACTGCCTCCTTCCTTCCAAGCACAGGACGAGGGGATCCTGCCCTCGGGCAGACGGGGCGCGGCGAGAGGTAACGGGGCCCAGATGGGCGGGCGGCAGGGAGGGAGACCAGGGCCCCTCCTGGTGGCCACAGGCTGTGGTACCCCACCCTCAGTCTTAGAGTTGCTGAGATGGAATCCCTTCCTCCATCTCTTACTTATCAGCATTTACCCAACACCTACTGTGTGCCTGGCCCTGCGGCCTTCAGCCTAGTAAGACATCTGACCCTCTGAAAATGTCAAAAGTGGAGTGTCATCAGATGAATGAACATCCTCACCTGAGTTAGCATGTATGAGCGCCTACTGCATGCTGGCCCTGTGCCAAGCGCTTTACCTGCAGGACACCCCCTGGGATGGATAGGTATTCTTACTTCTCAGATGGAGAAACCAAGGCCCAAGGAGGGGCAGTACCCTACCCAAGGTCACCCAGCTGAAAGTGGGGGGCCAGGACCTGAACTGGAGCCTCCTCAATTGCTCTGTGGTGCTGGCCCCTCCCAGGCTCCCTACTTAGCCTGGCTTCCCTTCTGCTTGCAGGTCCTGCCAGATAAGCTCTAGGGGCTGGGGCTGCCCTCCCTGCCTCATGGAGACTGGGGGTCACCTCTGCACCCTCACCTCAGGGCACCCGAGCACCCTCGGCAGCAGCTGGAGTGGGTGCTCTGAGCTCCGAGGGCCATGACAGTTCTGGCCTCCATGTGAGGCCACCCTTGGGTGCACCCCAGTGATGGTGGGCTTAGCTGCCCAGAACCCCTGCCAGGGCTGGGGGTGAAGGGGAGTCATTACTCCGCCCACCCAGGACCCCTCCAAAGAGTCTTTTTGAATAAACGAGCTATTTAGGTGCCCTGATTGTGAAGGTGAGTTTGGGGCCGGAGCAGCTTAGGGTGGGGGCTGTGGGGTTTCAGGGAGGCAGGAGGAATCTTCATGACCCTTTGGGACTGGAATTTTTGCCTCCCAGAATTTCACTTTTTCTCTCCATGATATGAAATATCTGGTTCTAAGCCCCTCGAAGGGTGTGATTCAAAACACAAGACTTTCTACAGTTCGTGGGGGGTGGGGGTGGAGTTGTCCACCTGCCATCCCTGGCCCTGTGGGGCCCCCTTCCCAGGCATACCCACCCTAGCACCCCAGGACACAGAGACAGTGGAATGGCTGCAGAGAAAGGGTCTTTATTGTGGGAGGCATGGTGAACTCAAGGAGGGTCAGTAGCCCAGCAGGGCACAACCCCAGCCAGCTGGCGGTCAGGGCTGGGCTGGGCGCCATCCGCACTGTTTCCCATCCTCCGTGCGTCCCTGGGAAGCTACCATCACTCAGCAGATTCTGCATCAAACTTAAGGTCCTGAAGAACCTTGCTGATCGCCTCTATGGTTTTAATTACCCTACAAGAGTGGATGGGAACTATAAATAAAACCCAGATGGGGTGAATTAGCCGCCGCTGCGCAGCTCCGAGGCGGCTGTGGCAAGCTCCAGGCCCTCCTGCCCCGCCACCAGTCCTCCAGGCAGCACTAGCGGCTGGGGGGACAATTTGGGTGCCTAGGAGGAGAGGTGGTCCCGTAGGTCAGAGTGGGTGGAGAGAAAAGGCCATCTTGGGGGGTGCCATCAGGAGGGTGTGCAGTGTGACCGTGGCAGATGTCAAGTGGGTGTGCATGTGTGTGCGCTTGGGGAGCTGAGGGCAGGAATGTACAGGTGTGTGCCCCATGGGGCCTGGGAGGCCATGTCCAAGCTCAAGTCCAGCCATGTGAGTGGGATGGGCGTGTGTGAGGTGTGCATCTGTGTCCCGCAAATGCACAGCGAGTCTGGTGTGAAACTGCAGGGAGTGCGCACTGGGGGAATGTGTGCTATATGTCTGGGAACCACCAGGTGAGACTCTGATGTGCACATCCTAAGGGCTGTGCCCAGGTCCAGAGGGTGGGCTGGGTCTAACCATGCCGGCCTGGGGCATAGCTGGCTGGGCATGGTGCCCGAGGGGGCATGTGCAAATGTAGCATGGCCAGCCCCTGGGAGGCAGCGCTCACTTCATCTTCAGGTGATGCATCTGTAGAGGGTTCTCCTGCCCCGTCAGCTCTGGCGCCCCCATCAGCTGCAGCAGGGCCACCTGATGGGCGATGGGCAGCAGGGAGGATGTCACCAGGGTCAGAAGTCCACCTCTGCCCTCCCACAGAGATCAGAAAGGAAGACACTGAAGCACTCAGAAAGGCAGCACAGGGGTGGAGCAAGGCGGAGAGTCGCGAGGGGCGGTGCTTTGCACAGGAGTCTGGGATCCAGTGCAGACGGGCTCGAGAGGGAGAACGTGGGCGTGGACGCACGTGGGCGTGGCGTGGGATTAACGGTGAAGTCTCAGCCAGGGTTTGTAGGCAAGGGCGGAGTAGGCGGGGCTTCAGTCTCAGGGAGAGGACTGGGCATTATAATCCCAGGGTAGAAGTAGGGCAAAAACCTAGACTGGGATTGGGGTCTCGTAAAGCAGCGTGCCCTGGGAATTCCAGTGCAGAGCGCGGTGTGGGCGCGGTCTCACGTGGACTTGGCCTGGGAGTAGTAGTGTATCTCGGTCAGGATTGGCTGCAGGGACAGAGTAGGCGGGGCCTCGGAACCCTAGGGCAGGAGTAGGCCCAGAACCTAGGCTGGGATCTGGGGTGACCTGGGAGGGGACGTGGCCTGGAAGTCCCCGCCCCCCAATCTGCAGCGGGTTGAGCAAGAAGGGAAGTAGTATTGTAGGGGCGGGGTCTGGGCATCCTGGAATAGCGTTGAGGCTGGGGACAGGGTCCGGGATGAAGTGGGCATGTCCTGGGACTAAACAAAACTTGGATGAAAGTGGAGGGAACAGTAGGGTAGAGGCCGGAGAATCTCAAGTGAAACCTTAGTGGAGGACTCAGGTGGGGTCTGGGCGCCGGTGGCGGGGGTTTAGGGGGCTGGAGTCTGGCCCCTCCCAAAGGGGCGCACAGTGGCCCACAGCACAAGACACAAATCAAAGAGGAGGGGACACGCGGCCAGGGGGCAGGGCCTCACCGTGGCCAGGCGCGTCTCCTCCAGCTGCTGCAGGCTGCGCACGTGGCCCGCGAGCAGCGGCTGCGCTCGGGGCCCGGCCAGCTCGGCCTCTACCGCCAGCACCTCCCGTGAGGCGGCGGCGAAGGCCTGGGTCACCTCGTGCACTGTGCTCCGGTAGCGCGAGAAATCGTAGGGCGGGCCGCTGCGCAGATACTGGCGGTGGCCTCTGCGGCAGGTGAGGGTCCTGAGGCTACGTCCCCAGGCCCAGCACCCGCATCGGCCACCTGAAAGCCCCACAGGAAGTGTCCCTGTATCCCAGGGTGTGGAGGACACTAACTGTCGCAGGGGAACCCGACCCCCGCGCTTGAGGACGGAGATGACACACGGAGTGGGGCGTTGGGAAGTGGGGACGCGCCCTGGGTCCCTGCGAGCAAAAGCAAAGATCTGGTCCCCCCGCAAACCCCACCCTACCTCTGACAACGCAGCCGCGCGGGGACCCAGCTCCGCCCCTGGGCGCGCCCATCCCCGGAGTGGGTTGGGGGCTGAACCCTGCGACCCCTGCCCGCCCCTGCGCCGGCACTCACTCCTCCAGCCGGCGGAAGGCCTGAGCGCGCTCAGCCTGCAGCTGGTGGATGCGCAGCACCAGCGCCCGGATGGGAGCATCTTTCTACGGGGCGGGGGTCATGGCTGGGGCATGAAACCAGCGTCCCCGGGCCTGCACCCCCGCCCCACGCCTATCCCGCTCGGGCCCGAGCTCACCCAGGGCCACGCCGGCTCCTCGCGCTTCGGGACTCCGGTGGACGCCGCAGCCCCGGGCACCGCGGGGAGAGCGGACTTGGCCGCGGCCTCGGCGGTGATCATGACTGCGCAGCCCAGGCCCCTCCCGGGAGCAGGTTGCTCTGGTGCGCCGGGCGCCTCCTGCAGGCCCGGAGGTCTCCAGCCCCCAGCCTGTGGCCAACCAACCCGGAAACCCGGAGACCCCGGGTAAGAATAGGGAGCGAAGACTAGGGCCTTCTCAGGTCTGACACCCTCCTCCCACCCTACTCCTGTGCTTGTTCCCGTCTAGCGCCTGCCTCTCTAGCGTCGTATTTGTCCTTGAACGTACAGTTGTCTATACAGCAAGGGTGTCGCTGGTCCGTAGGTTTTTCTGTACACCTATGGCAACGCCCGACTTCATTTCATCCTCACATCCTTTCCCCACTCAAATAAAAACGAAGCCTGAGAAGTGATATCTGTCATCTAGTGCCACAAGTGTGTGACAAGAACGGGTTTGAACCCAGGTTCTGACACTGCTGAACTTGAGTCGTGAGAACCCAGCCGACTTTGTTTAGTAGATTCCCCTGCAGGTTGTGTGTGAGCTGCTCCTCAGGTGGGAGGCGAAGAGGGCTGTGTAAAGGCCCTGAGGTAGGAGTCTGGGGCCAGGTGAAGCCAGCAGGACCTCACATTAAGTGCAGAGGCCTCTGAGCTCTCTGCTTCAGATACACCACCTAGTTTGAGCTTCGGGAAATTTCCTCTTCCAGGGGTGGATGTGGGGAAGACCAGAAAGATGGTGGTGGCCTGGCCTGAAGAGGGCACAGTTGAGAGGAATAAAACCCAACTAGCTGAGGCATAGGGTGACCGAGTCTTTAGCTGGCACTTCAGATCTCAGCTGTTCTTGGCATCACTGTCCAGGCCTGGGTCATCACCTACACCAAGCTCCAAACACCTCAAGACAAAAGCATGCCCTTGCCAGGGTCAGTCCAGCGCATGACAGGCCTCACCTGATTTGCAGGAGCGTCACTCCAAGTTCCATCAACATGAAGGCTTGCCCCGCCCAGACAGACGGCACTGGACTTGGGTGGGACCCAGGTGTTCTAACAGTCAGTCCAAATTGAGAACAGGTGTTTTACACTAGATGAGGTACTCCCAACCTTCCACCCCACCCAGTGGCCCACCCCTGGACATCTCCAGGGCCCAGGCACAAAGATCATCAACGTCCCTGGGCTGGGGATCTTCATTCCATGTTATAGATGACAGAACCCAGGTGGGGAGGCTCACAAGGCTATGTGGCAGGGGGCTGGGACTGAAACCTGCTGGTGCCATGGTTAGGACAAACCTTTTCAGACGTGGAGGGCAGGGCCCACAGCCCATTTTACAGATGAGACAACTGGAACCTGTGACAGTGGACCCCTAAGGGCTGTGCAGAATCCTTAAGAGAGATGCCCACACCTCAGCCACCTCCCATTAGACAAACCAGCCACAGGGACAGCAGTTACTGCTCCAGTCAATGAAAGGGAACTTTATTGAGGCCCCAGGGCCACAGGCTCAGGCAGGAGGCCGCTCTTCCAGTGAAGGGGGAGCCAGAGGGGCCTTATTTGACCTTCTTCTTGGGGCGCAGGTTGTTGGTGTGGCCGCACTTCTTCTTGCGGCAGTTGACAGCGCGGGGGTGCAGGCGAGCGTAACACCTGTGCAAGGACGGAAGTGACAGTGAGGGCACCCACGCCCCACCCGGGCCAGCCCCGCCCCCACCTCTGAGGGCACATACTTGCGGCAGATCATCTTGTCGCAGTTGTATTTCTGGGCAAGCTGGCGGAGGGAAGGTTCGATGATGCCACCCCGCAGGCGAAGCACCAAGTGGAGGGTGGACTCTAAAGGACCCGAAGGTGGGAGAGAGACAGTGACTGAGCCTGGGCCCAGCACCTCGGTCCCACAGGTGCAGGGCAGGGCCCTCCAGACCAGAGCTTCTCCAATGTGATGGGGACAGGTCAGAATCCCTTGGGTGTTCTCCATGTAATGGACACACCAGCCCAGCCCACCACATAGAACTGCCATCTTGTCACTTCCCACCAGCCTTCGGGGAGTCTGATGCTAACATATCCCAACAGTGGTGTCCATCTGGGTTTCCTGACAGGCAAGGCAATTTCTAAGTGGTGCAAAGATGACCTTTTTTTTTTGCTAAGCAAGACAGTTACATCTTGTTGCTGCAAAAAGTGACACTGATTTCCTTTAGAGTATGTACCACATTTTTAAACAAAACTCAAGTCTTAAAAACAAAAGTGGACAAGAACATGGGAAACCACTGCCATTTGGAAACACAGATGGACATCATGGATGCTTTCCAGTGATGAAAACAGTCTCTTATGAAGCAAAACTCCCCAGCCCCATGTGATCCTTAAGAACCACCCCCGCCTCCTCTCCTGGTGCCAATGAGGCTATCAGTGCCCCCAGCCCGGGTCCTAGGCCTTATGGGGCCCTGTCCAGCCACCCCACCCCCATACCTTTCTGGATATTGTAGTCTGAGAGTGTGCGGCCATCCTCCAGCTGTTTGCCCGCAAATATCAGACGCTGCTGGTCAGGTGGGATGCCTGGGAGAGAGCGAGAGCAAGCAGCTCAGTTCCTGAGGCTCTGGCAAACACACTACTGGCAGCTCCCCTTCTCCCACAAGGTTGCCCCAGCATTACCCCCAATCTGTCAAAAGGGAGACTGAGGTAAAGAAGACAAGTCGCCTTCTGGAGATGCCACAGGGGACGCACAGGCAAGGCTGCGGTCTGTCCAAGCCCAGTTACCCATCCCACACAAGGACAGCAGCTCTCCTGGGATGAGGGGCTCCCGCCAGACAGGGCACCCAGCCCCAGCCCAACTCACCCTCCTTGTCTTGGATTTTAGCTTTGACATTCTCAATGGTGTCACTGGGCTCAACCTCGAGGGTGATGGTCTTGCCTGTCAGGGTCTTCACAAAGATCTGCATCTCTGCGTCTGCTGGGTGGGTGAGGGGATGGAGATGGAGAGAGTGGTGAGCTCTGGAGAGAGTGGTGAGCACTGCAGGTCTCTGCAACCCTGTGCCTGCACTGACCCAACTGTAGGCCTGTCCCAGTGCCTGTTTCCGCCCACCCCTCTAAGCCTGTAGCTCAAACACATCCTGTAACCAAGGACCACACTTCCTCCACCTTACTCCTGGACCCGTGGCACGAATCTGCTTCACGAGAACAAGGACTGTGGTTATGCTCCTCGCGCCCGGGTGAGGACGGATTCCATCAACTTTGCAGATGGAATGAGAAGTACACGGCAAGGGCACCATCTTGCCAGGCATATTTTCCCCAAACCTGGTCTGGAGATCCCATCCTCCCTCCCTGCCCTCCCCCAGCCTCTGGCCTCATCTGCTCCCCAAGCTGCCTTTCCCGCAGCCTGGGTGGGAATCCCATCTTAGTAGTCATCCCCCCAACACATGCACTTTCCTCCCTGCAGTTCCTCTCCTCTCCAACTCCAAGCTAGGACTCCCAACACTCTGGCTTCCTTCTCGGTTACGCCCAAACTCGCCAGACGACACTTCCTGCCTTTTCTCCGACCCATAAATAGTATCTACCAACCACGTGCCAGGTTACTTGTTTATATATAACACTTCATTTTCCAAATAAAGAAAAACAGAGCCTAGAAGATGGACGCTACTACCAGCCTCTCCTTATAGATGTGTTGCGGGAGGCAAGCAGATCCCAGCGCAGGGGGTTAACGTTTTTGAAAGGTTTGGCGCAGTCTGGCGGGGAGAAAAAGCTACTCGCTTAATACCCCTCCTCCGCTACCTCGGATCCGCCCGGGAGGACTCATCCCCGCCCCAAGGACGCGTGCGATAGCTCGGGCCGACGGAGCCGCAGTCCCCTGTCTCCAAGGCCGGTTCGCCTCCCGGGCCCCAGGCCGGGCTCAGAACCCCGACCCCACGCGCCCTGTTCAGCCGATCTGGCCGCACCGCGGAGCCTGGCCCGCGCGGACGGGTCCGAAGCAGGCCCTTCCGCTGCCCGGGCCCCCGCGACTTCCTACAGCCTCCCACCCGACCCTAGCCCGGCGCGAACCCGCAGCGCCGCCGCCACCGACCCGCTCGGCCGCCTCGTTGAAGAGCAAGAGAGCGGCAGAACCGGAAACCGTCGATTCGTTACCGAGAGCGCCTGCGCACCGAGCACGCTGCGAGCCTGCGTCACAATCCGCTCCGCGCGTCGTGCCCCGCCCCTGGCCCCGCCCCGCCGCCATGTTGGCTGCTGGTGGACGAAGCTGAGGCGCCTGCGGGCGGGCGTCACCCAGCTGCTTCCCGGCCCGCCAGGTCACGTGAGAAGGCTACTGCAGCTTTCCATGTTTTTACTCGCCGTCTCCGGTTGGCTGAAGACTGCTGGCACGTCGCGGGCGCTCCGGGATGATTTGCTGAATAGAGAAAACTGTTTTGTGCTAAAGCAAAGGCACTAAGCGGAGGGACTGGGAGTCCCGGACGCAGGGGCCGGACCTGTGAGCCACCTGAGCCACCTAACACCCAGAGATGGTTATTAGAAAGCTCTCTGGGGGCCAGCGCGGTGGCACAAGAGGTTAAGTGCGCGCCTCCACTACGGTGGCCCAAGGTTGGCTGGTTCGGATCCCCGGCGCTCAGGGATGCACCGCTTGTCAAGCCATGCTGTGGCAGCGACCCATATAAAGTGGAGGAAGATGGGCACGGATGTTAGCCCAGGGCCAGTCTTCCTCAGCAAAAAAAGAGGAGGATTGGCAGATGTTAGCTCAGGGCCCATCTTCCTCACCAAAAAAAAAAAAAAAAAAAAAAAAAAAAGAAAGCTCTCTGGCCACTGTGCACAGATGGATTTCAGGGCAGCCCGTACAGCAGCAGGGAGAGCAGGTGGGGCTGGTGCAGTCACCCAGGAAAATGGGAGTGGGACTCAGACTAAACATTTAGCATGCAGGCCCGAGACTCGTGAATGCCTAGAAAGTGCTGCCCACAGCAGAGAAGGTCGCTGTGGGTTTGGCAGCGCCCCCTATGGGCCAGGCAAAAGCAGACACTTTCGGCTCTTGGAAAGATGTCCTTAATAACACAATTTCCAGGTGCTTCAAAGGTGAGGGGACTCTGTGCGAGTGTCTAATAGGGAATGGGACCAGTCTAGCTCCCTGAGGAGCCCACTCTGGGACTGAGATCTGGAGGAGTTATTCAAGGAAGTCAGGGAACACAGTTGTGAGGAGTGGGAACAGCACGTGTGAGGGCCTAGGTGGTGACAGGAACTTGGGTTATTATGACTGCCACCACCAGAGACTCCCACCAAGCGCAGCCACATGTCTTTCTAGTCCAGTGGTCCCTGGTTGTCTGTACCCCATCCTGTCCCACATATAGTCCTTGTCCCCTTTTTGGGCTGCTGGACCCAAGGATGAAAGGAATATACTGCTAGGTGCATCTTTCCCTTTTTAGTAACAGAGTCTTTTTATTGATAACTTCCCAACAGCATCTGTAAACATCGGGTACAAAAATATTCTGTTTAAACTCTCTGTTTTCCAAGGTGGCTTGGCTTGCTCCACAGAGACCCCAGGAGAGGCCTGCTGGGCTCTCAGGGTGCACACCTCTGGTCAGAGAAACAGGCCTTGTCAGGCTGGCTCGGCTGAGTAGGTGGCCAGCCTCTGTCTTGAGCCTTCTACAACTGTCTCAGAAACTGCCTTGAGATGCTTTCATCAATACTCTGATAGGAAGAAGGGGCAGGGAGACCAGAATTAGTAGGTGTGGGGGGGGGTAGGCTGGGGTGAACTCAGACAGGACAGTGCTTGTCCACCTTCAGGAGGTCCTGAGCAGGGTGCTGGGGCAGGGGACATCTGGCTCTGGTCTCTGGGAACCTTGGAGTGTTGATCAGAGCAGACCTCAGGCCTCATCTGGAAAAGCTCCCTTGTGCCCAGTCCAACAACTCCAGCTGCGCTGATGGCCCCCGGCCCAGCAGAGGGGTCTGCAGAGGAGAGGTGTTCTCGGTGAGGGAGGAGTGAGAAGAACAAACCCCCCAGCACTTTGACTACCCCCGAAAGGAGCTTGTCCCCCTGGAGCCCTGGATGACAGACTATCATGGCAAAGCTGACGATCTTGAGGCAGGGTTACCCACTGCCACCTCAGGCACCTGGGGGTGCTGCCACTGCCCTGAGACCCCTGGGAGCAGGGCTACTCGCCCAGCATCTCCTCGTCGTCCGTCTGGCTGCGGCCATTGATGGCAGGGGAGCCAGGCCGGACGTGGGACAGGTCCTCGAAGCCGGGGCTGAGGGAGGGCGAGACGGTGTCGGGGCTGGTGTCACATGAGCCCGTGCTTTGTTCTGAGGTGGCAATGGTTGTTGTGGTACTAGGCGGGATGGGGTCTTCATCCTCGTCCTCCAGGAGGGATGCCTCTGGGATGTCTGGGGGAAGGAGGGCCAGGAGTTGGCTTAATTGTCGTGTCAGGCACTGTGATGAGGGATTAACTGTGCCTGTGACCCCTGACAGCTCCCCCCACCCCATGGGGCATGATTGGGCCCATTTTACAGAGGAGGGGACTGAGGCTCAGGCAAGTGAGAGGCCTGCTTTGAAGGTGAGGTGAGGTAAGGATACCAGTTCTCTGGGGTCGGGCTGGGGTGGCCTGGGGGCCAGCTTGAGCCTGGCTCTGCCCTCCCGACTGTCACCTGGGCCAGGCCCCTCACCTGCCCTTGCCTCAGGTCTCTACTCTGTAACCCGGGGCTGACGACAGCATCGCCTTTGTGCCTCTGGTTGTCAGCAGCCCAGGGGTGGGGAGCTGTTGGCCCATTCAGTAGATGGGGTCAACCAAGGCTGAGCATGGGGGGATGATGCACTTCCTCTGAGGAGTCACTGCCCCACCGGGCTTCAGTTTCCCCGTGTAAAATGGGGATGCTCACAGCCCCACCTCATGGGTGGTTGTGGGTAACAGCCTGGCTTGTAGGGGTATGTGGTGCTCACTGGGGCTAGGATTCTCATTGTTCCTATCCACATTCCCCCGTGCAGCCTCCCCCGGGGGGGGACTCTGCTCCCAGCACCTGCTACACAGGTTGCCAAGATGACCAGGCCAACACCCCTGCCCCAGGTCTCTCTGGACCCACTGCCCTGGGGCCTGGGCTCAGTGTCAGTCCCTGAGGTGACCTTCCAGAAGCCAGTCCCGGGCTGAGGGCACAGAGGCCACACGTGGGGTGCAGGGTGACACTTACGGCTGAAGGCCTCTGGGTGCTGCCTGGCCAGCTTCCCTTTCAGCGTCCTGCGGGGGAAGGGAAGGCACACAGGGCTGAAGCTGACCAGGAGGCAGGCTGGGCCTGGTGCAGGCCAGGAACCCTTGCTGCCAGCTCCGGGCCAGTGGGCAGTGGGAGCCTCCCATCCCTGCTTGTCGCACTCTACTCCGGGCCAGAGGGAGGCCCAGGCGCTCAGCCCTGCAGACGGACCTCCCACCCAGCTGTCACCCAGCTTCCGCGCATCCTTGGCACTGGGTCTGTACACTGGCTGGGCCCTCCACCTGCAATGCTTTCCCTGCATCTAACCCTCCTCTACCAGGGCGACGTTCTAGTAAGCTCCCCGCCCAGCAGGTGCTCCTCTGGGTGATGTCCCCCAGCCTGTGTCTCCATCCGTGGGGTGAGGGGTCTGCATGGGGGCCAGGAGTACTGACTCATCCGCACCCCAACACCGAATGCTGGCTCCTGTGAAACTGAAGTTCACAGAGACGTGCTTGCTTCCCTTTCTTTAACGAGCCATTTTTCCTTTTTCCTCAAGTAATGCGGTACTGTTTACAAAGAATTACTAAGGGGTCTTCAGAGCACGGTCTCTCATCCTTGACTGTGACCTGCCGGTTCCTCCCTGCTGGGGCCCTACCTGTGTGGACACACTTATCTCCTTCCTGGGTGATAGAGATAAACACGAAAGGTGTCACCCTTGGGGTTCCTTCCTCCCCCCTGCCACGTCCCACCTGAGCAGCCAGCCTTGGGAGACACCCCAGAGACAGCGTGCTTTTATAAAGGACTTAACCAGCTGCCTCGTGATTGCTGCACAGAGCTCGCTCCAGGACACGTCTCCCTCAATCGTTGGCACCTGCTCCCTGAGTCTGTGAGCGGGTGCAGCTTCCCCAGGAATAGACGAAGCGGCACAGTCGGCCACAAATCCAGCTGCAGCACCAGCTCGCTCGGGCCAGGCGCGCCAGCTGCACGTGCTGACGGCGCAGTAATGACGTGAGCTCCGGGGGCCGTGTCAAGTGTTCTGTGTGCCCACGGACTCCAACATCGTCCTTCCCTGTCCTCAGGGAAGCCAGCCCGGGAAGGACCCACAAAACCCGGCAATCTCCTTTGCCTCTTGAGAGAAGAGCCGGGGGGGGCAAGGGGCCTGGAGGGCTGCCTTTCACTGTCTGTTCTTGCCTGCCTTTTGCCTTATGCGTCTAGTGCTGTGTTGCGTTTTTTGAAAAAGAAATAAAATTTAAATTCAGAAACATCAAGATTTTTATCCCAAAATTCAAACTTCGTGGATACTAAGTGCATGATGAAGCTGCATACAACAAACGAGCTGAATCACCCGTTGCCCTCATCGAAGAGGGGAGGGAGGGGCCGAGCACCCACCTGATCCTGCGGAAGATGCTGTCCAGGTCCCGCTTCATCTCCACCAGGGTCCTCGTGTGGTGTAGGAAGCGCTCAGTCATCTGCTGCAGGCGGGCACTCGACAGGTTGTTGAAGTTTAGCAGCATCTCGTTGGTCTTCTCAAAGCGGTCCAGCCTGGTGGCAGAGAGAGGACACCAACTCCCCTGCTCAGCCTCCAGGGCCCTGACAAGTGATCATGCTAAGCCCTTTCCTGTGCCATGAGCTTTGCACGTGCCATTCCCTTGTCCTACAGAGCTGTTCCTGGTATTTGAGCCACCTAGAAAACTCCTCTTCAACCTTCAAAACCCTACTCAAGTGTGCCCTTCTCATGTAGCCTTCAACCTCTCCCTCAAGCAGGCTCTTTGAGTCCCCTGACTCCCCAAGTTCCAGGTGGTTCTTCTGGCTCAGCCCTGACACCAGGAGGCCAGGAAGGTCTGTGTCTGGTTTTGTCTCCCCTCAGTCTGGGAGTTCCCCGGGCCAGGTCTGAATCAGACCTAAAGAACTAAGACAGAGATGGGTATTGCTGAGACCCAGACATACCTGGCATCCCATCACAGGGTGAGAGAAATGTAAGGGTATCAGGTCTGTTCTGTGCCATAAACGGAAGGAAGAGCCTTAAAGCTTAGAATAAAGACACAAAAATAAAGACCCCAGGAGGCTGTGCTTCCACCCCAAGGTTGCGTCAGCCCTGCTTCCACACAGGGCAGGCCAGAATTAGGGCGAGGCTGCAAAGGCCACTCACAGCCCCTCCGAGAGCCCCGGGCGCTCTGCAGAAACAGCCTGGGCGCCGAGAGACCAGGCTCCCAACAGGAAGTCAGCACACCAGCTCCCTCACACCCCCCAGCAGCCCCTCCTATCACCCCACTCTCCCCATCCCAGGCATCGGGACAGGAGCTGCTGCGGCCCCCGCCAAGCTGTCCGCAGCTGCGAAACCGTCCCAAAGCCCTGCTTCCTGTGCCAAGGCCTCGCCTCCAAGCCAGCAAGGAATGTACTTTGGAGCCAGCTGCAGATTTGCTCATTTCCTTCATTTTAACACCAGTGTGGGCCCAGGGTAGGAGCAAGCAGGGCAACAACGCTGGCCAGCAAGTGGATTCCTTCCCACTTCCCACACTGAGGCCACCACTCACATGTTCTTCTGGGCCAGGATGATGGCGTTGACGTCGTCCACGTTCACCATGCTCAGGATGCGGCTGCAGAAGACCCTTGAGGCCGAGTCCGGGGCGTCCATCTCTTCCTCCTCCTCCGCTGCCTGAAACAAGCAAGAAGAAAGAGTCTTCAGTCTGCACCAGGCACCAGGAGTTGGGACAGAGAGGAGGGGCTGGGAACCGCAAAGGCTGTTTGAACATGAGTCGGTCACGCCACCTGAGCCTCAGCTTTGTCACCTGGGAATTAGGGGGTGTTCTGAGAATTACAGGAGACCATACTTATAACTTGCACCCCAGCACATGAGAACCCCTTAGTCCCTCCCACCTCCATGGCTCCCACTCTCCATGTGCCCGAGGCCAGGGGAAATTTCCACCTGCATAGATCTGCCAGCCGCCTCCCACATCCCCCTGCCTTGGCCCACTCCCACCACAGGGCCTTTGCACCTGCTGTCCCCACCGGTAGCACATGCATGGCTGCCCCCTCAAATCATCAGCACCTCCAATGTCTTCTCTCCCGAGGTCTTTGATGATACCCCAAGGTCTTTGATGATACCCCTACTCTGGTCACTCTTATCACTCTGCCTTGTTTTAACTGCTTCACTGCCACACCTCTTCCTGAAATTATCTCAGTTGTCAGTTGATCTGTTTGCCTGTCGTCCCCACAGCAGTGTCAGCTCCAAGAGAGCAGAGACTTGTCTCTCTCCCTTGCTGCTCTGCTCCAGAACGTGGCTCATAGCAAGGGATGGCCAGAACTTTGGCGGAGGCTTACAGAACCTTTCAAACTCAGCCCTGATGCTAGACTTTTATTAGCAAATTAAAGCCAAGAATTTCAGGCACTCAGAGCCAGGCTGTGGGCCCCAGCTCCCCGGCACCCAGGTGACCATTCTGGTGGGTGGGGGCTTCCTTGACCATGCCAGGGCAGGAGGGGCCACGGCTTCAGCACTGACCCTCCTGGTTGGGGGGAGGGTTCAGGAGAAACCCAGAATCCTGACATAGTTTGATTCTGGCGTCCACACATTTAATGGCTGACAGAAAGGCCCACTTGTGACTGGTGAGAATTCACACACAGGATTAGCAAGGTCTTTCAGAGCTCACTTGATCCACCCTCCTCTTCACAAGGCACTAACGTCATACACCAGGAACTGTTATCATCCTTGTTTATATATGAGAACACTGAGGCTCATGGACTGAGGAACGGGGCCACTGTCACACAGCCAGAGAACCTGAGTCACAATTCACATGCCCATGCTCTACAGGATCCACAGAGGTGTGAATCTGAACAGGTGTTCATTATCCACCCATGACGGGACAGCTGCTGCTCTAAGCAGCCGATTCCTGCCAGACTTCTGATTTTTTCCAGGCAAAAAACAGAAATACGGATTTTTTTTCCTGTGAAATCGCCTCATTTACAAATGTCAGCAACCAATACTTTTTCCCCCCCAAACACCACGTAGTCAAGTGTTATCTATTTGAGCCCTGAATCTGGCTAGCAATTTGCAGCCCCTACATGCCTTCTAGAAATAAGCTGCCATACCTGGTGAAACTCTCCTCATCCAATTATCGCCATATTTATTGAGCTCCCACTATGTGCCAGGTCTGGACACTCACAGTCTCCGATTTTTGAAGAAGCATGATCATGTATAAACAGGACACTTGCGCTCAAAGGGCAGTCATGTGGCAGGACCCACAGCCAGAGGCTGACAGGTTCAGGGTTCTGGACCAGTGGGAAACCATTCTGCTGCAAAGTACAGCTCTTTCTCATCTCCAGCTGCCAGATATGAGGGCTGAAGGATTCAGGGCACACTCCCCACTACCCTAGCTGTCTCTCTCAGGAAGCCTTCCCTGACTAACAGCTAGTCTGGCCCACACACAGGGTGGAAATGACCCAGCAAGGGCTCTGGCTCCTGCTCCAAATACATTTATGAGGGAAACACACAGACAGGGAGGCTGTGTGACCTTGGAAGAATCACCTCACCTCCCTGAATCGGTTTTCTCACCCAGAAAATGGGAATAACAAAGAATCAGCACTTCACAGCGCTCTCTGTGGGGACTGAAGCCAATTGTGATAAGGATCTGGGCTGTTTCTTCAAAGGGAGTGGGAAGAAGTCCTAGGGCGGGGCTCAGGAATCAGCTTTATTTTTGAGGAAGATCAGCCCTGAGCTAACATCTGCCAATCCTCCTCTTTTGGCTGAGGCAGACTGGCCCTGAGCTAACATCCCAGCTCATCTTCCTCCACTTTATATGGGACGCCAGCACAGCATGGCTTGACAAGCCCTGCGTTGGTGCGCGCCTGGGATCCGAACCGCGCGCACCCAACCGCCTGCGCCACCGGGCCAGCCCCAGGAATCAGCATTTTAAGGAGGGCTTCCCCGGTGCTTCCAAGAATATGAGCAAACACTTGAATAGCACTTCATTTAATCCCCAACCATCCCTATGAGGCAGACACTATCATCTCCGAAGGCAGCTAAGGCTCACAAAGGTGGACTCAGCTGCCCAAGGTCACATGGCGAGGCGGAGAGGCGCCGCCATTCCACCCAAGTCCTTAACAGAATTTAACTTGGCGGCACAAGCTCAGCAAAACGAGCACGGAGGGGCTCGCATATCTCCTCAAGCCCCGCCCCTGCAAAGTGGGGAAACAGGCCCAAGCAGAGCAACGCCCGGTTCCGGGTAACAACACAGCACAGCCTGAACACAGGTGGCCCAAACTCCCGCGCCCCGGATCCGGCCCGCGGCTCCGCCCGCGCGTCCACTGCGCAGACAGGGAAACCGAGACCTGTGCGCAGGAGGGGTGCCCAGATGTGGCCAGCGGCGCGCCCCACCCCACGACAGCCCGGGGGCTACACCCGACCCGGCCCGGCTCCCCAGCGGCCTCGGCGGCCCCAGCCCCACCCGGAACTCTGCACCGGCGTCGGTGGCAGCGGCACCTGCACATCTGGCGGCCTTGCTCGCGCTTCCGGGATGGCGCCCTAGCCTCCGCGACGTCACCACGCACCATGCGTGCGAGCGCGGGTGGCGGAGACGTACCCGGGGCCGACTGGCGTGCGTGGAGGCGCGGCAGGAAGGGGTGGGGCTTAGACGCAACTCCTGTTCCCGTGTGCGCCACAACAAATAGCCAATCGAGCAGTCCCTCTCGCGCCTGCGTAGTTTCCTAAGCCCGGGCTCCCTGGCAGTCCGGAAGTGGGTGGTGGAGGCTGGGAGACGTCCTGTTTTATACATGGTCAAACTGAGGTCCGAGAGCGGCAGGCGCTTCCGCAAGGTCATATAATGCTTCAGTGGCCTGCGGTCGACCCAGACCCAGGTGTCCTGCTTTCCAGGCTGGGAATCAGATTCATCTGGGTTCAAAAATCCCTGCTTCGCTTTTGGTGACCTTTTTCTAGTCCAGGATCCCATCCAGGATCCCACGTTGCATTTAGTCGTGTCTCCGTAGTCTCTTCCACTCTGTGACAGTTCCTCAGTCTTTCCTAAATTTTCATGACCTTAATGCTTTTGAAGAGTACTGGTTTTGTAGAATACTCATCAATATGGGTTTATCCAGTGTTTCCTCACGATTAGACTGAAGTTGAGCAGTTTGGGCAGGAATCCCACAGAAGCGATGTTGTGTCCTCCATGCATGGTATCAGGAAGCACGGGATGTTGATGTGTCTCGTTATTGGTGATGTTGACTTTGATTACTTGCTTAAGGCAGTGTCTGCCAGTTTCTCAACTGTCCAGTTACTATTTTCCCTTTTATAATTAATAGGTATCTTGTGGAGAGATACTTAAGAGACCATACAAATACCCTAGTTTTGGGGTTTTTTTAAAACATATTTTTCACCCACTAGTTTTAGCATCCATCTGTGGCTCTTGCCAGCAACAATGATTACTATCGTGTTTGCATAATGGTGATTTTTTTTTTATAATTTTTTTTTTAATTTATTTTTTCCCCCCAAAGCCCCAGTAGATAGTTGTATGTCACTGCTGCACATCCTTCTAGTTGCTGTATGTGGGACGCGGCCTCAGCATGGCCAGAGAAGCGGTGCGTCGGTGTGCGCCTGGGATCCGAACCCCAGGCTGCCAGCAGCGGAGCGCGTGCACCTAACCGCTAAGCCATGGGGCTGGCCCTTTTTTAATTTTTTTTTTAATTTATTTTTTTCTGGTGATTTTCTATTTATTAATTTAATTATTAATTGGAATTCTACTGTAAACAAGAGCTGTCCATTCTCCAATTATGGGTTTATTCAAGTATTTGTATCACTATGAACTTATGAATATTTATTTTATTCTGTGGATTATAGTTAACTTCTTTTTTCCTTTTTTTTTTTTTTTTTTGCTGAGGAAGATTCACGCTGAGGTAACATCCACTGCCAATCTTCCTCTTTTTGTATGTGAGCCACTGCCACAGCACAGCCACTGACAGACGAGTGATGTAGGTCCACACCCAGGAACTGAACTTGGGCCACTGAAGCAGAGCCTGCCGAACTTCACCACTAGGACACCAGGGCTGGCCCAATTTCTATATTATTTATTTTGCTGCCTCTTTAAGTTAGCCCCTATGTCATTTTAATATGTCTCCACCTTAGTCTGAGCACTTCCTTACTTTTGGCACCACAAGATGTTCCATGCTTGCTTTGGAATATCTCTGGAGTCAGCCATTTCTCCAAAGACCCTGGTACCTTTTCTTGGAGAATAGGATTTAGAAACCAAGATCTGGGTGCTGGCCATGCTCACTGCCACTGGGCTATCATTGCTTAGAGACCCTCTCAGCAGTCAGAGTTAGCAAATACATGTATGCCTGCTAACCCATGCACACACATTTATATTTACTTCTATATCTGTCTCCTTGTATATAAACTGAAAACTGTGAGTTCATACTGATATGAGGATGCATTTTTAAGTGAAGTAATCCAAGTTAAATGCAAGAACAAAATGGGGCAAATAGTAATTGCTCAATAAATGTTAATTAATTACCATTAGTTATTGAGGTCTTTTTATTTATTTATTTATTTTTGTGTGAGGAGATCAGCCCTGAGCTAACATCTGCCAATCCTCTTCTTTTTTGCTGAGGAAGACTGGCCCTGGGCTAACATCCATGCCCATCTTCTTCTACTGTATATGGGACGCCGCCACAGCATGGCTTAACAAGCAGTGCGTTGGTGCGCGCCTGGGATCCAAACCGGCGAACCCTGGGCCGCCGCAGCGGAACGCGTGCACTTAACCGCTTGTGCCACCGGGCCGGCCCCAGTTGTTGAGGTCTTATTATGTGTATATGTTATATATTGTATGTCTAATTTTTCTGGGTCTCAGTTTGTTAACTGGGTGATCACAGCATCTGCCTTTTAAGGTCGTTGAGAGCTTGGGAGATATTGAGAGCTTGGGAGATGCACACATGCTCTTAGGCACATGGAAGACTCTTTAAGAGTCCTGGAATTGGACATATCTGAGTTCTGATTCCAGTTCTGTCACATCCTAGCTGGGTGGCCTTGGGCAAGTGGTTTAACCTTATGAAATCATGCAGGTTAATTCCTTACAACAAGTCTTGGCCCACTGTAAGCCCTCGGTAAACCGAGGGTAGACTGTGTTATTACTGCCACACTCTGCTGCCTTCATTCATTGAAAAGTTAATGAAGACCAGGATTCTTATATAGTCAGTTCAACAAACAGTTTTAAAAATTGTTCAGTAAACTCTCTAGCCACCCTTTCTAGGAGTGGCCCATATTCTGGGCATCCAGAGAGTACTCAATTCATGCCTAGCCCTGGAAGATGGAGACAGAGTCTGACACAGACACTCCCATCCCTAGGGGAACAGTGCTGGGCTAGAGGGAGGAGAGACTCAAGACTGAAGGAACCTGAAGAATGGGGTATGAGGACTCGTTTTGGGGACAAGGAATCAGGTACATCTGGATGGTTTTTTTGTGTGTGTGAAGAACACCAGCCCTGAGCTAACATCCGATGCCAATCCTCCTTTTTTTTTTTTTTTAAAGATTTTATTTATTCATTTTTTTCCCCCCAAAGCCCTAGTAGATAGTTGTACGTCATAGGTCCGCATCCTTCTAGTTGCTGTACGTGGGACTCGGCCCCGGGTTGGACGGAGAAGTGGTGCCTCGGGGCGCCCCCGGGATCCGAACCCCGGGCCGCCAGCATCAGAGCGTGCGCACTTAACCACTAAGCCACGGAGCCGGCCCTGCCAATCCTCCTTTGTTTTGCTGAGGAAGACTGGCTTTGGACTAACATCCGTGCCCGTCTTCCTCTACTTTATATGGGACACCGCCACAGCATGGCTTAACAAGCAGTGTGTTGGTGTACGCCCGGGATCCGAACCGGTGAACCCGGGGCTGCCACAGCGGAGCACATGCACTTAACCGCTTGCGTCACCAGGCTGGCCCCTGGATGGGGTTTTGAGGTAGGATTAGGAGTTTTCTAGGTGCTGACAACCATTCAGGACTGAGGGAATCACAGGAGCAAAGACAGGATGGTGGGAAAGCACATATCATGGACTCTATCTTTGTAAAAATTGTGGAGCTCAGTAAGCCAGGCAGCAGCCACTGCTGAGAGAGGAGCTGCGGTGGAGGCTGCTGGGAAAAGTGGAACCACAGCTCTGTCTGCAGGCTGCAGCAGAAGAGGCCCAAGCTGGAGAAATCAAGCTTTTTGATGGGTCCCTTGGGCTCTGTTGGAGGCCAGGAAACATTTACAAGGGTCCTGGAAGGGGTGGGGGTTGCACATCGGGCCAAAAGGGACTTGGCTGGCCTCAGATGTTTTGTGCACAGTGGAGTGGAGACAAGAAAATATTTCCCTCCTTTGTGTGTTCAAGGGAGAGGGTTGGAAGTGATGGGAACACTCAGTCAGCTCAGTGATGGGGCCACTGTTCTGGGGGAGGCCTAAGTCTGGGGACTGGAAGCCTTTCTTTTCAATTTTTTTGCCACTTCTTTTTCCTACATAACACTCATCACAGCTGCAAATTAGATACTTAACTGCATCATTCTTTGTGCAATATCCAGCTCCTTGGCTGGAATAAAAGCTCAGTAATGGAAGATACCTAACCCATACTGCCCTTCATCACTGTGACCTTGAACAAGGTAATTAACTTCTCTGTGCCTCAGTTTCCCCATCTGCAATATAAGGATAACCTTACCAAAACACATGCACCCAGTCCTAAAGAAAGCAAGAAAGCAGAGAGAAGAGCATAGAGCAGGTAGGACAGAGAAAAAAACACACAAGATGGCATATTTTAAGTCCAAATAGGTCCATAATTACATTAAATGTAAAATACACCAAATGCACCAATTAAAAGACAAAGATGGGGGTCTGGCCCGGTGGCGTAGCGTTTAAGTTTGCGTGCCCCACTTTGGTGACCCAGGGTTTGCAGGTTCAGATCCTGGGCGCGGACCTGCACACTGCTCATCAAGCCATGCTGAGGCGGCGTCCCACATGGAGCAACTAGAAGGATGTACAACTACAACTATCTACTGGGGCTTTGGGGAGACAAAAGGAAAAACGGAGGAAGATTGGCAACATATGTTAGCTCAGGGCCAATGTTCCTAAAAAAAAAAAAAAATTTCCTCCTTCGTTTAAAAAGAAAAAAGACAAAGATGGGCAGACTAGACCAAAGAGCAAAACTCAACTCGATGCTGCTTATAGGAGACACATGTACAACATGAGGATACAGAAAGGTGGAAGATAAAGGGTGGAGCATTTAAAACAGGAACCAGGGGCCAGCCCGGTGGCGCAAGCCGTTAAGTGCGTGCGCTCCGCTGCAGCAGCCCGGGGTTTGCCGGTTCAGATCCCGGGCGCGCACTGATGCACTGCTTGGCAAGCCATGCTGTGGCGGCGTCCCATATAAAGTGGAGGAAGATGGGCACAGATGTTAGCCCAGGGCCAGTCTTCCTCAGCAAAAAAACAAAAAACAACAGGAGGATTGGCAGATGTTAGCACAGGGCTGATCTCCTCACACACACAAAAAACCAAAGGAGAGGAACCAAAGGAGAGCAGGTGTGCGACCTTAACACCAGACAAAGTCCACTCTAAGGCAGGAAGCATGGAGATAAAAGGGACATGTCATAACAATATAAAGTTCAGTTCACCAGCAAGATATGATAATTGCAACTCTGTTTGCAGCCAATGACATGGCCTCCACATATCAGAGTATTTGTCTCATAAGACTGATGTAAGAATTAAATACATGTAAAGCATTTGCCTACACCTGTGATACCTGAGTGCCAGCTGTGATTATTAGTGTTTTAATTGTTGGTGTTCTTAGTTTGTATTAGTTTATTATAGTTGTTTATGTATTAGTACGGTTGTTGGTAAGTTTACTACGGTTCCTCCCACCCCAAACAGAGGTGGGACTGGATAGGCAAGTGATTCCACTGCGCAGATAAAACACAGAGGTTCAGAGGTGGACGGGGACTAGTCCAAGGCCCTCAGGATCAGGACTGGCCCAGGGTTTATTTGACGTTCCTTCTCAGGCAATTTCTCATGTATCTCTGCTGCCCTATCACCTCTTCTGGATGGCCAGCCTGCCTTCCTTCCTTCCACAATGATTTCCCTGTATCCCCCACCCACCATTGTCAGGCACTGTGTAGGCCTCAGGGCTAAAACAGTGAGAAACAACAGACCGTTCCCAGACTCTGGGGGTCTTCCAATCTAGTGGGCAAGGCAGAGGTAAGTCAAATGATGGCACAGATACAAGTTAATCAGTTATGATGTAGAGGTTCATCGTGCCAAGAGGGCAGCCAATCAGGGCAGCTGGCCTTGCCTTGAGGAGGTCAGGGAGAGCTTCCTGTAGGAGATGACCTTGGAGCTCCAATCTGACAAATCAGTTACCTCCAAAGCCAGTTACCTCCTCCACTGTTATCTACCTCCTAAAGCCACTGTCCCATTCATTCATTCATTCAATTATTCATTTATTTATTAAACTCCCATAGATGCTAGCCATTATTCAAGGAGGTGGTGGGGACAAAACAGGCAAAATTCTTTCCAGACTGGAGCAGAATGGGGGTAAGTGAGGGAAGCAAAAGAATGAACAAGGTCATTCTGGAAGGGGGTAAGTGCTGGGAAGGAAATAAAATAGAGCGAAGGAGAAGTAAGTGCCCCCTACTTTCAAAACGTGATAGATAAAAACCCTTCTAATCGTTGCTGCCACCTTCTCCGGGGCAGTCGGCACCTTGTCACTCTCCAGCAGAGGGTGTAGGGAGGAGGAACTCCCAGAGGCCCTGCTCAACTCAGTCACTCACCTAGACCTTATTGAGCTCCTCCTGTATGCACTAGGTAACCTTCCAGGGATTAGACAAACCACGCAAGGGGCGGGGGGTTCTGCGTGCCCTTGGGCACGTTGCTCTCCCTCGGGGCCACATCTATAACTAGGGCTTCAAGGTGGGTTATCCAGCAGTCCCAGAGCCACCCTGTCAAGCCCGAGCTCCTTAAGAAAATATCATTTAGTGCTGTCCTCGCAGCAGCCCCCAGGGTGACAGTGCGTGGATACGGGTGTTTATCCCCATTTCGCAGATGAGCAGGATTAAGCTCAGATTGCAGCGCCGAGTCGCGCCAGGCTGCGCGGCGCTGACTGGCAAATAGACTCTGGTCCGAAGCCGTCGCCTTCGCCCCCGCCCCCGCCCCCGGTGGCGCGGTGGCCTCTGCCCCTTTAAGAACGCCCAGCGAATACATGCAGGAAGGGGGCGGTGCCAGCGCCCGAGACGGATGTGCGTGCGGGCCACTGAGCGCTACAGTCGCGGCGGCAACAACCAATGGGCACGGTGGGGGCGGGGCCAGGCTCCCGAGCCTGGTTCCCGAGGCGCGGCGGACGCGGCTGGGGGCGGGGAGGGGGGCGCAGGACCCCAGGCGGGGGTCCCGGAGCTGGAGGCACGTGTAGAGGGGCGCCGGAGGCGCCGCGCCGGCCGAGGGCGCTGCCGGGGTCTGGCTCGGTCCGGAGGCCGGCGCGGCGGGGGCTATGGCCGATGGGCGGGGCGAAAGGCCGCGGGGGCGGCGAACCGGGGGGCGCGGCTGGGCAGTGGCGGCCGGGGGGGGGGGCCACCGGTGGCAAGGGGAGCGGGTGGGGGCGCTGCCGGCAGAGACGTGGCGGGCAAGGGTCTCCTGAGGGGTGCGGGCAGTCGGGGGCCTCAGATTGGTGGCGTCAGACAGGCGTGGGGCGTTGGGGGCCTGGGTCGGAGGTTGACGGAGGGCCAGGCCTGGGCGGGGGGGCGTCTGGAGGGCGTGGGGTGTTATGGGATCGGGAGGGAGGCGTCAGGAGTCTTCGAGGTGTTTACGGGGCGACGAAGCGGCTGCGTGGGGAGCTGGCCCGGGCTGGGGGCAGTGGTTGGGGGAGGGAGGAGGGCGATTTATGTGGGCGCAGGGGATTGTGGGGGTGGGGGCTGGGAGGGTCTCAGAAAATGGGGCGGGAGGCCGGAAGGAGCAGGCAGGTGAGAGTTAGGGGGGGAATTCTGTGGGTTAGAATGACGGCTCCACCACCTCTGAGCTTGGGGCCTGGGGGAGGGAGGCAGTTCTTGATAGCCCAGGGAAGAGGCTGTAGAATGCAGTGGGGGGTCTCCACCACCCCTGTAAAGGAGGCTCCTCTGAGAGGGTGCCCTGGAGGCCTGAGGAGAGGTGAAAGAGCTCCCAGGGAAAGGTTTAGGCCAGGATCCCTGGTGTGTAGGGGTGGTACTAGGTTCAGGGTATGGAAGGAGAAGGTTTGGGGTTTCTGAGTGCCTCCCCTTAGGAGCCCTGGTAAAGATTCAATTCCCTTTCTGTTGGGCTCTAAAAATAGCCTGCTCAAGACCTCAGGGGCTAACCTCCTAAAAAACCTCAGCACCCCCTCTTGGCGTGTAATCAGATAAAGTGCCAGGTTCAAATCTTGCCCCTGCAGGTCGCTTGCTCTGTGACCTGGGGCAAACCACTCTGGGCCTCAATTTTCCTTTTCTGCAAAACATGAGGGGATGTTCCCTACTTCCTGTGGTGTTTATAAATATTAAATAATAATTAGGTCCTGTAATAGCTAACACTGTTTGAGCCTGATGCCCCCAAGGCTTGATGCTTGGTGGTTAAATCCTCTAGACAAGCCAGAGTTGTTGGTCTACCCACTGTGTAGATGAGGAGACTGAGGCCTGGAGCCCCTGAGGCACACGGCAAGGATCAGCAGTGTGGGGAATGGATGCAGAGAAGAATTTGAGGGGCTGGGTGGGATTCTTACCCCTGTCCATTCCCTTTGCTAGGGCCAATTCCCGTCCCCCCAGCAGCATGGCTTCCTGTGCTGAACCCTCTGCCGTGGGCCCTGAGCCCGTCACCCTGCCACCTGCTGGGGTCCCACCGCTTGAGGACTTCGAGGTGCTGGACGGGGTGGAAGACGCAGAGGGCGAGGAGGAGGAGGATGAGGACCTGAGTGAGCTGCCGCCACTTGAGGATGTGGTGCGGCCCCCAGTGGAGGAGGCTGAGCAGCCCGGGGCCCTGGCCCGAGAGTTCCTGGCAGCCGTGGAGCCCGAGCCCGAGCCCGCCCCGGCCCCGGAAGAGTGGCTGGACATCCTGGGTAAGGAGCAGGGGTGGCTTGGGTGACCCACAGGGCCCAGAAGCTCAGGTTCAGGAGTGACCTTGGCCCAGGCCCTCTCCTCCCCTGAGCCTCATTTTCCTGTCTTTGCTGTGGAGTATGCTGGAAGTCAAACGTGGTAACCGTGATGATCGCCAGCCACAGGCAACTGCTTGAGGCACTTCATGTTTGTGAACCCCTTTCATTGTCACACACGCACACACACGCACTCACAATGTGCTACGTCCCGGTTTCCCAGAGCGGCTAAGAGAAGCTCAGAGAGGCTGATTCACCCGCTCAGGACCACACAGCCAGCACACCAGGTGCCAGCAGGTCCCAACCCCCACTGGCTCTTTTCTCAGCGTTTGTCTGGCAAGTGCCTGTCCCCTGAAAAATGTGTCTTAGGGTCAAATGGATCTGGGGAACATCCCCTTTTGTTCATCCCTCTGTCTGGTTCATAGTATCTATTACAGTTCTCATTGCTCAGAGAAGTCCTGCAAGAAAGAAACTAGGAGAACCCACACATGTGCCCCCCACATACCCCAAAAACTCTGGAAGCAACTCCGGAAGCTACAGAAATGTATTGCTGCTAGTGCTGATATCTAACATACTAAATAAGGCTACTGTCCACACAAATAGTAGAAAACAGAATTACTGCTACCATTAACACTAATGATACTAAAGCCACAGTGTCAAATAATACTGACGCTAATGAAACAGGATTGTTACTAATATCACCTCCACTACTCCTGATAAAAAATGTTACTACTTCTAAGAATAACACCAGCTAATAATTACTGAGCACTGGTTCTGTGCCAGGCCTGCGCATTATCTTATTTTATTCTCACAACAACCCTGTGATATAATTCCTGCCGTATCCCCATTCTGCAGATGGGGAAACCAAGGCTCAGAGAGGTGAAGGTGCTTGCCCAAGGTCGTACAGCCTCCTTGGCTACATTAGTTTGGGAAGCTCTTCTCTACTGATAGTAAGAGCTGCCCTGCTCTGCCTCTGAGCACAAGGCTGACTCTACTGTTTATATTTGAGCCACTTTCTGAGGTCAGAATTCTGGCTTGTAGACAAGTAAACTGAGGCCTTGAGAGGGGACGTGAGTTGCCCAGAGTCCATCCTGCTGAGAGGCAGTGCCTGGTTGTGACCCTGCCAGCACATCCACCATTAGTGCCCAGAAACCTCAGGACACAGGGGTCCCTCAGGATTCACTGGTTCAGTGGTTCTCAGACTGGATGCAGGGGCATGTACAAATTGGGAAGCGGTACAGAAACTTGGAACATTCTAGAATATTACAGAATATGCATAGATAACTCTGTGTCCCTAACCTTTAGATTAGGGTCCACTGGGATTTGTGGTATATTCCAGTCATCGCTGGGGGGGCTCTGTGAGTGGATTCCTGAGGGCACTGGGCTTTGTGCCTGGCACTCAGTAGGTGTTGGCTGTGGCCATTTGGCCATTCCTGCAATTGTGGGAATGGAGGGGTATGGAGGGAAGCACAGTGGTCTTCTCGGGGGCTGTGGGGGCATCAGGGGCTGCTTTTACTTATGGGCCCTTTGGCTCTGTTTAACTTTTAAATTCAGTGGTGTGATGCTTTAGTGGGGTCACACTCCCAGTGTCACAGGCATTCTGCAAACCAAGCAAACTGCTCACCAGGGTATTGCCAGGAGACCCCCTGATCACCCTCACTTCATGGCTGGGTAAATTGAGGCCCAAATGACACAGGACTGGGATTGGAACGGGGTGGGGGGGGCTCCAGAGTCTCTTTTCTGGGCGTCCCTGCCACCCTGACTACTTTGGGCAAGACAGCTTTTCTCAGCTCTGCTTTTGCTGAACCAGATTTTCTTTTTTTTTCTTTGTGAGGAAGATCAGCCCTGAGCTAACATCTGCCAATCCTCCTCTTTTTGCTGAGGAAGACTGGCCCTGGGCTAACATCCATGCCCATCGTCCTCCACTTTATATGGGACGCCGCCACAGCATGGCTTGCCAAGCGGTGCGTCGGTGCATGCCCAGGATCCGAACTGGCGAACCCCGGGCCGCCACAGCGGAGCGCGTGCACTTAACCGCTTGTGCCACCGGGCCGGCCCCTGAACCAGATTGTCTTAAGATAATGATCAGATCAGGCAGTGTTCACTGAGCCCGTCCTTGGGGCCAGCATCATTACCCCCCAGATCCATCCCTTCATGCCCAGTGTCCAGCCAGAGACACTGAGGCCCAGAGGCATGGGGTCACCTGCCTAGTACGTGGCAGAGTGACCATTTGAAGCTCAGCTTGTGCCCCAGTGCTGGGCTACCCCTGGGATGGATGGAACTTTGGGGGGGGCTCAAGGAGTAGGTGCCCTCTGAGCTACCTGGTGACAGGCTGCTTGTCCCTGGTCCCTGGCAGGGAATGGGCTGTTGAGGAAGAAGACGCTGGTCCCAGGCCCACCCGGGTCAAGCCGCCCTACCAAGGGACAGGTGGTCACTGTGCAGTTGCAGACGTCACTGGAGAACGGCACACGGGTGCAGGAGGAGCCGGAGCTGGTGTTCACCCTGGGCGACTGCGATGTCATCCAGGTGGGGGTGGGGTGGGATGGTGGCACGATGGGGGAGGAGGTGGCTGAGTGGGTTGGGAGGTGGGCCGGGGCTGCGCTGCACCTGGACCTCACTGACCCTCATGCCCCTGCACACCTAGGCCCTGGATCTCAGCGTCCCGCTCATGGATGTCGGGGAGACAGCCATGGTCACTGCTGACTCCAAGTACTGCTATGGCCCCCAGGGCAGGTGAGAACCTGCTGCCAGCAGGGCTCCCCAGCGGGGGGGGGCGGGGGGAGGTGGGTGAGGCAGATGCCCCCCTCATCTCGCCCCATCTGCCTGCACATTTTATAGAAAAGGAAACTGAGGCTTAGGGAAGGCAACTCACCAAATCCTGTAGCTCGTGGGTGGCAAAAGTTACCGCCCTGTGTTTTACCGAGGAGGGGATGATAGCGGGGCCAGCTCCGGGCCTTGAGCTCTTTCCCACCTGCTCTCGAGCCAACCTGGCGTGTCTGGGGTTCCATCATGGTGGCTGCTAGGCCTGAGTGCTCCCCTCACCCCACCCCCTAGCAGGAGCCCCTACATCCCCCCGCACGCGGCCCTGTGCCTGGAAGTAATACTGAAGACGGCCGTGGACGGGCCTGACCTGGAGATGCTCACTGGGCAGGAGCGCGTGGCCCTGGCCAATCGGAAGCGGGAGTGTGGCAATGCCCACTACCAGCGGGCTGACTTCGTGCTAGCCGCCAACTCCTACGACCTCGCCATCAAGGCCATTACCTCCAGCACCAAAGGTGATTGACAGGTCAAATCCCTCCACCTCCCCTGCAAAGGCATTCACTAGTGCCAGAGACCTCAAGCCACAGAGGGCCTTAGACTCAGAATGTTCTAGAATATTCCAGGATGTGGATAAATGGTCAGCTGTCCCTAACCTTTAGGCTAGGGTCCACTCCAGACTTGTGTTATATCCCAGATCCGTGGAGTGTTAGAGGACACAGGTGATGTTGGCGTGTGGGTGACTGTGACGACGTCAAGCCACGTGCCCCGTGGTTCAGCACTCACTTCGCTTAGGCTCCGTTTGTAGACTCCTTGGGAGTGCCCTGAGAACGGTGCTGTTAGAGATGGGGAAACTGAGGCTAGAGAGGCCCAAGGTCCCCTGAGGAACAGGTAGTGGAGGCCCCAGCACTGGGAGCTCGGAGCCCCCCCACTTCCCGTGACTGGGACGCTCAATTAGAGACCCCTCCCCTAGTATCCTCCACCACCAGGTGCAGAGAGGGTGGTCTTGGCTTGGGTCCCATAGCGAGCTGGGCGCCTTTCCCTGAAGTAGAAGGTGGCCAGCTCCTCTGCAGATGGGCGCTTGTGGGGGGTCAGCGGCATGGTGACCGCTGCCTTGGTTGGCCACCGTCTGCCTACAGTGGACATGACGTTTGAGGAGGAAGAGCAGCTCCTGCAGCTGAAGGTGAAGTGTCTGAACAACCTGGCGGCCTCGCAGCTGAAGCTGGACCACTACCGCGCAGCGCTGCGCTCCTGCAGCCTCGTGCTCGAGCACCAGCCAGACAACATCAAGGCGCTCTTCCGCAAGGGCAAGGTGGGCCTCAACCACAGGCGGACAGACTATGGGCCATGGGCAGATGGGCACAGGCCAGTGGCAGGCAGGCTGCAGGCCGGCTCCCCCAGCCCAGAGCAGTGGGACTGGTCCTGAACCTAGGATTTGAAAAGGGCGTGGGTGTCAGCCAGCTGAGTTCTCTGGGGTACAGGTGGGGAAGCTGAGGCCCAGACGGTGCAGAGGTATAACTTGAGTCACAGCAATTCATTGAGGCTAGACTCGAACCTCAAGCCTTGGATTCCTTCCACTTCCCTACACTACCTTCTGGCCCAGTGGTGATTGCTCCTCACGTATAATCCTCCATGGCTCCCATCTTTCTCAGAAAAAAGCCAGGTCCCCATTGCAACCCTTGGGGCTCTGAGCCATCTGATCTGCTTCGTGCTATCGCCTTCCACCTCACCTCTTGCTTCTCTCCATCCTGCTCAGCCTCCTCACTGCTTGCTGTCCAGGCCAGGTCTGCTCCCACCCCAGTGCCTTTGCATAGGTTGTGCACTCTGCCCAAGACATTCATACCCTATATGCCCCCATGGGTTCCTCTCTTACCTCCTTCAGGTCTTTGCTCTGATGTCACTTCCTCAGGAATCCCTCCCTGCCACCCCCATTCTAACCCCCTGTTCTGTCTCCATGTTTACCATGTCGCTATCAGCACAGGCCAGTGTCATGCTTCTTGTCTGCCTCTCCCATCAAAAGGCAAAGATTTTGTCTGTCTCACTCACTGCTAGGTCTCTAGCCTTGCAAACAGGGCCAGGCACACAGTAGGTGCTCAGTAAGTGGTGGGGGAATGTAGGGGTGAATTTGGTCTGTGCAGACTTGATCTTAATTGCTTTTGCCCCATGTCTCTTCATCCTCACAGCAACCCTGGGGGTGGCTTTCAGCACCTTTTAGCAGAAAACTGAGGTGCAAGCAAATGCTGGGTCACCTAGAGTGTTTGTGAGCGACTTGAGCAGGGTCTCCCTCCAGCCAGCATTTTTTAAGCACTTGTTGTTTGTAGAATTCTCCATAAAAATCCCTGTTTTTGAAGGATTTATAATCCTCTTGGGGGCAGTAGGACTGTCTGCTCGTGTTGCCTCACATGTTTGGATCTGCTGGTTGAAGGTGACAGAAACCTACTCAAACAGATTGCAGCAAAAGGAGGAATCGATGACTTGTGAAACTGCCAAGTCTGGGGTATCTGGCTTCAGGCATGGGATCCAGGCATTAGTGTTGTGGGGATGTTGTGTCTGTCTTCTGTGGGTTTCCTTCTGAGGCAGACTCCTCAGGGTGACCAAGATGCTCCCCACTGCCCCCACCAAAGCTCCAGGCTTCCATCTTTCTTATTTAGAAGCCGGCCTCCCAGTGGTACTAGCATAGCTCAGGCTTGTTCCCATTGACTGGCTTGAGTCACACACCTGGCTCTGAATCGTTCATTGTGGCCCAAGCTTTGGCAACATCCAGTTGGCTTCTTGAGCCAGCAGCCAAGGTGGTGAGGGAGGAGGAGGTGAGGCCAGTTCCCCCAGTCTTCTGCACAGGCTGAGACAGAAACACAGGGGAAGGAGCAGGTTGGGGGGACAACACTGAGCCCAGTGGGGCGCTCACAGAGTTTCAGGTCTCGGGAGAGCAGTGTAAGGGAGGCTGGACCCCAGGGTGGTTGCTGGAGATAGATTTAGGACTTGTCAGGGTGGCCAGGAGCCTAGCAGGCCTGGGTTTCTTGAAGGAAAGCGTGACCCAGTGTGGGTTCAGAGTGATGCCACCTACTTCTTCCCACAGGTGCTGGCCCAGCAGGGCGAGTACAGTGAGGCCATCCCCATCCTGAGGGCGGCCTTGAAGCTGGAACCTTCCAACAAGGTGAACGGAATGGGGCGCCCTGGGCATATGCCTTGCTGGCCTGTCTAGGAAGTCTGTCCTGGGGTCTGCCCCTTGTTCTTGCTGTGACTCTCCCTGTGGTGTTCCTACCGGGACAGTGGCAGGGAGTGGGTGGCTGAACGGCCCCAGCCAGCTTGCTGAGACCCTCATAACCCCTGCAGAGGTGGTCTGGGCTCACTGCCACCCCCAAGGGTCCCAGAGGCCGAGGCCACTGCCAACCTGGCCAGTGCTGATATCCTCAGCTTTCCTCCCAGAACCTTCTTCTCTCTTGGCCACCTTGTGCTCCATCCCATGTCCCAGTGGTCCCAGCTTCCAAGTGACCAAGGGCCCCGGAAAGGCAGAGTACCAGCGATGATGGTCAGGTTGGCTGCTGCCACCACATGTTTTTAACTGAGCTGACACCTGCCTCTCACAGACGATCCACGCAGAGCTCTCGAAGCTGGTGAAGAAGCACGCAGCCCAGCGGAGCACAGAGACCGCCCTGTACCGGAAAATGCTAGGCAACCCCAGCCGGCTGCCTGCCAAGTGTCCTGGCAAAGGTGCCTGGGTAAGCTGGGGCTGAAAGGCACAGGCAGCTCCCAGAGAAGGGGCAGGGGCTGTGGGCAGGGCACACCATGCAGAGGGAGTTTCTTTATTTTGCAAACATTGATGTCTTCATCAATCGGGCTATGCTGAACCATACTGGAGACACAGGCCCCAGCCGTGTGTGACCAGGGCCAGAGCAGGAGATGGAACACAATCTGGAGGACTCAGGGTGGGAATGATGGTTCTTCTAGAGGGGATGGGGAGGTGTCCTAGAGGAGGGGACATTTGGCTGGAGTTTTGATGCATGAGTAGGAGTTTGCCATGAGACAAGAAAGGCATTGTCAGGCAGTGGTTTGCTGGGAGGACTGTTTGTGCTGTGTTAGTAGCTGAGGCCTAAGACATTAGTCTTGACTGCTCTCCAGCCTCTTGCCTTTATCCACAGTCCATCCCGTGGAAGTGGCTGTTTGGGGCGACTGCTGTCGCCCTGGGGGGCGTGGCGCTCTCTGTGGTCATCGCTGCCAGGAACTGACTGCCCAGGTGGCTGCCACCTCCTCTGCACACCATGGACCCCACCCTGTGCTCCCGAACTTCCCCAGACTCCTTGTCCACTGCCCTATCTAGCCTATCCCCCTCCCCTGGGGGGGTGCAGCGAGGTTTGGGGGTCATGTGGCCCAGCAAGCAGGAGGGACTGAGGCCCTATAGGAGGAAAATGAGGCAGGGCCGGGGCCCCACGTCCAGCCCAGAGGGAGGGGGCCCTCATTCCTCCAGACCCAATTCCCACCCCGACTCCCACCCCCCTGAGTTAGGTCTCAACAGGGGCCGGCCTCAGTTTCCCCTTCCCAACAGGCCTGGGGGCAGCCCTTCTCCCACCCAAACCTTGTCCAAGTGCCATCCCCTCTTGCCCTGCCTGCTGCCCTCTGTCCAGGCTCCCCCCACCGTGAAATAAAGCCTCCCACCCCACAGTCTGCTGGCTCTGGAGCCTTCTTCCAGCGTCGCTCAGGGCCGGGCCAGAGATAGCCTGTGCCCCATGCAGGGTCATGCAGCACCCTGGTGTAGCTGAGCCAGGACTATAGTGGGGTATCTCCTCTCAGGCCACAGCAGACCTGCTTTACAGAGGGGGAAACAGGCCTGGAGAAGTGGGGCAGTGTGCTCAGGGTGCCCAGCTAGACTCCACAGGAGTTCACACCCAGCTATGCTCGTGACCCCACCTCTCTTGGCCTGTTGCCTCACCTGAAAATGGGGACTCCGACAGGACCTAATGGAGCTGCGCTGCAACTGACCCCTGGGGTCTGGCTGGGCAGGAGCAGAGCCAGTGTGGGGGCCCTGGAGCAGGATTGAGCCTGCCGTGTTCAAGGGGGGTGAGCAGCAGAGCTGGACCCTGCAGGTCCTCAGGGGCAACAGGAGGGGTTGCGGTTGATTCCCCACGGAGGAGCTCCTCGATGTCATTTGGTCCTCCCCTCAATGCTGTCCACCGTCACAGCCAGGACAGTCAGAGCTGGCGTTGGGGCCTGCAGCCTAGGCCCTTCTCGCTGTTCCATCCTGCCTCCTGGGGAGGGACCTCCACAAACAGCCTGCTGTGGGTGTCTTGCCTGCACCCTCCTTTTGCAGCCCAGGCGGAGAGGCCACCAGCCACAGCCTCCTAGCAGGAGTTGCGTGGTCAGGCCCTGACTCTGGGTCTTTGGCCTGATTGCTCCAGGGCCCTGCTCTCTGGGCCACCTGGCTGACTCTCAGGGCACAAATTTGGAGGTGGCTTGAACCTGCTCCTCATTGCCACCATTCAGTCCTCTTAGGCTTCTGCTTTGTCTTCAGACAGGGTGGGGGGTGCTGTGGGTTGGCCAGGCTCTCTGGGCCTGAATCCCAGACAGGAGACCCCCTCTCTCCTCAGTCTCACCAACCTCAGGCTGCGAAGCTGGCCCGAGTGGTGGCCAGTGGGACCATAGGCTGCTGGGTGACTTCCGGTCCTGGGTGTGAGAGTCATACTGCTGTCCTTCCTGAGTGCCGATCGCGTGCGGTGTGGCCTTAGTCCACTGGGTACCCACGGTGGCCTCATTCTGTGCCCACTTTTCATATATTCTGGGCACAAGTCCTTTGTCAGGTATATTGTGAACATTTTTCCCACTGTGGCTCACTTTTCATTTTCTCACTGGTATCTTTCAAAGAGGAGATGTTTTAATTTTTTTTTTTCCCTTTTTCTCCCCAGAGCCCCAGTAGATAGTTGTATGTCATAGTTGCAAATCCTTCTAGTTGCTGTATGTGGGATGCTGCCTCATCATGGCCGGACAGGCAGTGTGTCGGTGCACACCAGGGATCCGAACCCTGGGCCGCCAGTAGCGGAGCGCGCGCACTTAACCGCTAAGCCATGGGGCTGGCCCCAAGGTGTTTTAAATTTTGATGAAGTCCAATTTATGTTTTTTTCTTCCATTCTATGTACTTTTGTCAATATTTGCTGAGCTCAGTGTGTAGAGATTGTCCAGGTTTTATTTTTATTTTTTATTTATTATTTTTTTTGTGAGGAAGATCAGCCCTGAGCTAACATCCATTCCAGTCCTCCTCTTTTTGCTGAGGAAGACTGGCCCTGAGCTAACATCCGTGCCCATCTTCCTCCACTTTATATGGGACGCCGCCACAGCGTGGCCTGACAAGCCGTGTGTCGGTGCACGCCCGGGATCCGAACCCGGGCCGCCAACAGCGGAGCACGCACACTTAACTGCTATGCCACGGGGCCAGCCCTAGGTTTTCTTTTAAATGTTTTATAGCTTTCACTTTTACATTGACGTCTATGATCCACTTTGAGTTAATATTTGTATGTGGTATGAGGTTGGGGTTGAGGTTCGTTTTTTTCCATATAGCCATCCAGTTGTTCCAGAAACATCTGTGGGGAAGACTTTCTTTTCCCTGGTGAGTTACTGTGGCTGCTTTGTCAAAAGTCAGCTGACCAGGGCCAGCCTGGTGGTGTAGTGATTAAGTTCGTGCACTCCACTTTGGCAGCCTGGGGTTCATGGGTACGGATCACAGGCGTGGACCTACATGTGGCTTGTCAAGCCATGCTGTGGTGGCATCCCATATACAAAGTGGAGGAGGACTGGCATGGATGTTAGCTCAGGGCCAATCTTCCTCACCAAAAAAAAAAAAAAAAAGTCAGCTGACCACACATGTGTGAGTCTTCTTGGGATTCCGCTCCATGCTATGGGTTTCTGTGTCCCCTTGGCAGGTCCCACACTGTCCTGAAGACTGTAGCTTTTTAGTAACGCTGAAGTCAGGCTGTGTGTGCCTCCCAGTGTCGCTCCTTATCTCCAAGGTTGCTTTGGTTGTGCCCATTGTTAGCTGAGCAGACTGAGGCCCAGAGAGGAGATAGCTCCTGCCCAGGGTCCCACCACCTGGAAGCAACAGGCAGGATTAGGCCCTGGTCAGCCTGCCTCCAGAGCCCATGCTGTGCCCACTGGCCAGTTCTGCACCTCCCTGCAAGTTACAGCCAGGAGACAAGAGAGGCCTTGAATGCCAGGGCCAGGAATGTGAACTTTATTGTGTTCATCCCCTTGGTCGTTCCATCCTCAACAGTCTGAAAAGGCAGGGTGGGGAGCCAGGGCATCCAGGCTGGGGCGAGGGGTGGCATGGAAGTTGTCCTGAAGGCACACTGGGCTGTTGGCGGGTGGCAAAGGGCACTCCCGGCGTTGGCATGGCACGGGCAGAGCTGTGCTGGCTGGATAGCACGCGGTTCGTTCAGAGGACAGCTAGGATGGATTTTTCTTTCACATCAAAACATGTGCCAGTGCCTCCTGTGTACTGCGTCTTGGGCAGTGACAGCCTGGTCTTGCCCTCTAGGGATGTGGCTCAGAGCAGGCTGCAAATTAGAATGAGCTGTGTGTGTATGGGTGAGAGTTCACATCTCCTGAGCACATCAACAAGAGTTGCATGCAGGGCCGGCCCCGTGGCTTAGCGGTTGAGTGCGCGCACTCTGCTACTGGCGGCCCAGGGTTCGGATCCTGGGTGTGCACCAACACACCGCTTCTCCCGCCATGCTGAGGCTGCGTCCCACATGCAGCAACTAGAAGGATGTGCAACTATGACATACAACTATCTACCGGGGCTTTGGGGGAAAAATAAATAAATAAAATTATTAAAAAACAAAAACAAAAAAACAAGAGTTGCATGCCTCCATCTCATGTCATCCTTAAAGGACAACCTCCTGGGGGTGAGGGCTGGCTGGGGTCACCCAACGTGGGACCATCAGTGCCCCTGAATGCCTGTCCTCTGGTTCTCCTCCTGTTGGAACTCACCTTTACTCCTTTCCATGCAGATGGGGCTGGTCCCCACCAGCCTTCAGGGGTGGCTATGCAACCCAGGCCTAACCAATCATAGCATTGCAGCCTCCTGGCCACAATGATTGGCTCCTGGACAGTCATGTGACTTACAATGATCCAATCAAATACTTCCCTGATATTTTTGCTGGACCTATGGGCCAGTAGGTGCCCTCCTTCTCCAGGAGCTGCTGAGCTGGTGGGATGACGGCCTGGCACGGCTGTGGTTATCTTTGCCTCCACGAAGAGGGGGCCTGACTAAGAGTGAAAGCCACCTGGAGAGCAGAGCTGAGAGAGAGACTGAGTCATGGTGACCTTATTCAGCTCCTGGAGCCAGCTGTGCCTGGAGCCTGTCATTTCTTCAATCTTTTGAGCCAACACATTATTGTTTTTGCTTGAGCCAGGCTGGATTTTCTGTGGCATGTGAGCGTTTGGAGGAGGAGGGTCTGCCAGGTTATATCAGCTTCTTTCCATGGCCTGTCCTTGTCCTCCTGGGGGAGCTTCCCTGACTGGAAGAGGACATAAAGGAGTGATGATAAATGCTTATGGACTGGAAGTGTTTTAATTGACACTAGAAACTTCCCAGAAGGTGCAGCCACTGCACAGGCTACCTTTGAGGAAGGGTCCCCATGGCGGTCACTACAAGCCTTTCCCAGGTCATGCTAGGCCTTACCCTCTTTATTGCTCATGGCAAGGATGATGCAGCTGACTCATGAAGCAAGATGGTGGTTTAAGAGCACTTGGAGCCCCACCTGATGTAGAGCAGTAAAGAAATAACTCAGCAGGCCTGCATTGTCCAAACCCTGCACATTCCCAAAAAAGGACTGGCCCTTGACCAACTCCTGAGAGGTCACCTCTATGCCCTTGGAATGTCCTGACTGGTAAGAGTGTCTTTGTTTATCTGTGACCTTGGGCCACACCACATAGTCTATGTTAACAATGTGATTTAGGGTGGGGGCCTTTGGCCACATGGTATGAGCTTGACCTCTGGAGGTGCTGGAGGCTGAGGTCAACCACGTGGGTGGTCAGCCATGTCTGTATGACTGATCCTTTCTCCTCAGTAAAAACCCTGGACCCCAAGGCTCGGGTGAGCTTCCCTGGTTGGCGATACTCTGTGGTGTTATCACACATTGCTGCTGGGAGAATGAAGCGCCATCTGCAACTGGAAGCTTGCACCCGGTTTCTGCCTTATGTGCCCTTTTCCTTTGCTGATTTTATTTTATTTTAATTATTTTATTGAGGTTGTATTGGCTTATATCATTGTGTAAATTTCAGGTGTACATTATTATATTTCAGTTTCTGTATAGACTGCATTGTGCTCCCCACCAATAGTCTAGTTTTTATCCATCACCATACATATGTGCCCCTTTACCCCTTTCACCCTCGTTCACCCCCTTCCCCTCTGGTAACCACTAATCTGTTCTCTTTATCCATGTGTTAGTTTATCTTCCACATATGAGTAAAATCACGCAGTGTTTGTCTGGCTTATTTCACTTAGCATAATACCCTTAAGGTCCATCCATGTTGTCGCAAATGGCACGATTTTGTCTTTTTTTTTTATGGCTGAGTAGTATTCCATTGTGTGTATATATATACACCACATCTTCTTTATCCAATCATCAGTTGACGGGCACTTGAGTTGCTTCCATGTCTTGGCTATG